AAAAAAAAAAATGAATGTTGCCGGGATTGAACCCGGGCCGCCGGCGTGCCAGTCGAGCACGTTACCACTAGGACAACGCACCCATTTAAAAATTTAAATTCATTAGTGGTATATCTTTAATGCATTGATTAATTTTTTTCATTGAAATTCCCCAAGATGTGGCTTCCCCCTTCCGCTCGTTCTACAGTCGGCACCATTTAAGTTAAACAAATAAAAATTCATAAATAAAATAATAATAATAACAATTTTTGAATATTTCGATTGTTTGCAAGAAACATATCGATGCATCTGGTGTATCGATACAAAAGACGATGTATCGTACGTAAAAATAATCGATATTCAAAATATCGATATTGCACTGAAAATTCCCACCCCTGACAGTTGATCCTGAAGGAATCACAAAATCAGCTGATCCTGACAATGTGACCTGTCACCTCCTGTCATCTCTGGTCAGGTCTCTCTGAACCTGGCGATTGAAAATTCCCAGCAATCATAACCTGCCAGCAACTGACAGGTAAATTATCTGAGAAATAAAATAAAATTGTCCGTCGTGAATTCCGTAGACAGAAAAATTGACAGAAATTGACAGTTTCTACGAATTCCAGGTGATAAAATGCCACCAGATTTTTCGTAGGTGTTCATGATGCAGGCGAGTGACATATTGACAGCGATTTTCGGGGAAGGGGTCGTCACCGAGAACTCTTCCAGGTGAATGACAAAATTATCAAACAAATTGATTTTTTTTTTAATTATTCCTCCTGGACATCGTGAGATCATTTTTTTAAATATTTGTCAGGCCTTCGGAGAGTCTCCGGGTGGCTTATGAGTTCATGAAATCCGCCCTTACCATACCAGATGATCCCTCTGAAGACCCCCGCCCTGGCCGATTGGGCCCCAAACCCGTATGCTTCGATGTTTCCACTCATCATGGACTTGTCATTGTCACACCAGATCGTTTAAGTGTCAACTCCCAGAGTAATTTCAGCACTCTTCGTGCCAATACTGGTAGGCACTATTTTTTATTCATTATTCGTTTAAAAAAAAAATTACCCAACCCCAGAGAACGATCTAGAAGAATATTAATTAGTTAATTGATTAAATTATTTTAAAAAATGCAATTTTTCCATCAATCAACGTTTGATTTCTTCAGGTTTATATTCCGGCAAATGGATGTACGAGCTGCAGCTCGGTTCCAAGGGAGTGATGCAGATAGGCTGGGGTACAGCGCACTGTAAATTTAGTCAAGAGAACGGAGTAGGTGACACGATCAATTCGTATTCCTACGACGGCAACAGAGTGCGTAAATGGAACGTATCAACCCACAAATACGGTGAGCCGTGGCTGTCAGGTGACATAATCGGTTGCGCCCTGGACCTGGACTCAGCCAAGATCTCGTTCTACAGGAATGGTCGATCCCTGGGAACTGCCTTCGAGGGAATAACAACAGGTGCTGGTGTTGCGTATTTTCCGACAGTCTCTCTGGCATTTACGGAGAATCTCACGGCGAATTTCGGCTCAACGCCATTCAGATACCCGATCCCAGGGTACGAGACCCTGGAGGGAGCCCCAGAGGCGTCCCTCCGTCGCTCAAAACTCCTCGTCCTCTGGTTCGAACGTCTGATCGGCCAGATGAGCCTGGAGACGGCCCCTGAGGAATCTCCACCCGATCCCCCGTCGATGTCCTCCAGAACGTACCTCTCATGTCTGTCCAGGTCGATTCTCCAGGAGCTGGGGCCGCTTCTGACAATCCCCTACATCATAGAATCAGTTTTTCTCCCCCTCGTCGACGATCTCGAGCCCTCGAAGCTCCAGATCTGTTTGGATGTCCTCTGGACACACCTGGAGAGCCATGAGATGAAGGCCTGCCTCGAGGGCAGCGTCGTGTACCTATTATCAGCCTTCAGGCACGTGTCTCTGAGGCTCGATTATCCCGACCAGTGCAGGAGCCTTCGACTCTTGACGAGTCTCTGTCGTCATCCACGAACAAGACAGTATCTTCTCCAGAATGTTCTCTTCGATCGCGTCCGGTTCGCCAATTTCATTCACGTCAAGCCTCTGGATGAGGCAGGTTTTGTCGACATCGTCGAGAAGACCTGGTGGGAGACGACGCCACAAGATCTCTCCGTCGAGGTCAATAGACAAAGCTACACCGACGCCTGCGAGACAATCAAGTCAGCCATCGCCGAGGTAGAGGCCCTCCAGGTCGATCTACTCATCACTTTCCTCGATAATTCCGATGGCACATCAACCACCTCGTCCTCGAGGACAATTTTCTTGAAGAAATTCCGGAGATTTGTCCAGGAGAACCTCATCGCCAGCAGAACTCCCCTGCAGATCACTGTCTGCTGCTTTCATCGGTTACTCGTTGCCTTCCGGATACTCTGGGAGAGGGAAGTCGGGATATCCCCGGTGTTCGTCCCCTGCAGGGTATTCTATGACTCCTCGATAAATTACTCGGACATCGATCGTCTCGGGGGCGTTTTATCGTATCTAAATAAAACGTATAAAAACGAGTTGATCCACCACCTGGGGCCCGATCACGAGGTGATCCTCTCCCTGGAGAAAGCGACAGACACAAATACCTTTGTCGGTGGTCCCGGAAGGGTCGGGGAGGTATCTGTCGTGATTCCAGGAACAACACGAATCCTCAATATCAATACCTCGACTCCAGGTGGTTCTCCCATTATCCTGGGTTACCCCACATTCGTCGGTGAGGATAAACCCCTGCCTGCGGGTTCTGCGGACTCTGCAGTGTCCCTGCTGGAACTCCTGGAGGACGTGATACTGTTCTATCACGCAGCTGCGAAGAAACAAATAGCAAAAGTGGCGAATCTGCGAGACAGCATGAGCGAGTACGTCAGCGCGATGTCCGAGGTGAAGGCCAGGCTCGACGCCCTGAAGAGGACGAAGGATCCCGACGTCGGGGTTCAGACGGAATTGCTCAGGACGATTGCTGTATTCAATACAAAACTCTCGGAGCAAGCGAGACACATGGCGTGGGTGAGGGCAGCTGTTTACTCCAGGGAGAAGCAGTCGCAGCTTGCATGGCTGCTCAATGTCGTCACCCTGACCCTGAAGAAGGCGAGTCTCGAGGGGAATATGTTCAGATTTGTCCCGGATTTCTACCTGGAGGCCCTGGCAGATCTCTCGGTGGGACTGAAGAGCCACTTGCATCCCACCGCACCCATCGAGAATATCAGAGGATACGAAGAAATGCTTCGAGAGATCGCCCAATTTCTCTGCGATCACTTCCTAGACCCCAGAATTGTTCACGCCATCGCCAAGGACACGCTGATCCTCACCCTCGCTGGGTTCACCTCGAATTCCCTGACTCTCAAGGCTCTCGAGGAAATACCCAGAGAGTCTAGGATAAAATTCGTGACGAATGTTCTCCGACCGTATGAAAATCGTGCCTGGGCCCAATCCAATTGGGTCCTTGTGAGATTCTGGCAGGGACATGGATTTGCCTTTAGGTACGAGAAGAGTCCACACCTCGCGAGGAAGATCGGCCCGAAGATGCTCCAGCAGGAGTCTATATCCCAGCCGATAAAACCCTGTCCCTCTGTCATGTATCAGATGCACGTGAGGGACATTCTGGTGGACAATCCCAAGGCGACAACTCTCTTTTTAAATTCACTTCTGAATCAGATGAACTGGGCCTTCTCCGAGTTCATCAGCATGGTCCAGGAGATTCACAATGTCTCCTCCAGACCGGAGAGAGTTTTCATTGAGTCCAGACAGCTCAAGATATGCGCCACTTGTTTTGATCTTGCTATTTCCCTGTTGAGGGTAATCGAAATGATTGCCAATGTTGCACCGAGTATTTTTGGTGATGACACTCAAAGCTCCAGTGAGAATCTCCTGGCAAGGCTATGCCAGCTTCTCTGCCAGATTCTAAATAGAGTGAGCTCACAGACGAGTTGTTTCCAGCACGTCGTTCTCCTGGAGATTCCCGACCTGGAGAGCATCGATCATTTTCCCATTTTGGCTGCTGTTACTGGAATTCTTATTGCCCTGTTGAGAGGTGATATGGCTGGGGACAAGGATCCCGGGAATATCCCGAGGATCACCAGGGCTTTGCTGACGGAACCGAGCTTTCAGATGAGCTCTTTGTACTTTGTCCTCGGTGAAGACGAGTCCAAGAGGAAAATCGATAAGAATGTCAAGACGTTTTCACTGGGTTCGTACGCGGGGGATGTCAGTCTGGAGGAAATTGACAGTGTCAAGGCCATGTTGATGTATCTGGAGTCCAAACGAGTACTTCTACCGGACAATCGACTCCTCAGCGATGACGATGATACCTGCATCATCTGCTATGCCTATCCTAATGGCGCCACTTTTAAACCCTGCAATCATAAATCGTGCAGAGTATGCATTGATCGACATCTCTTGAACAGTCGGGAGTGCTTCTTCTGCAAGACCACGATTACTCAGGTCTATGACCTCAATAAAACTCTCATTCATGATTTCACTTCTAGTCTCGTTAGGTCGTCCTCTAGCTCGTCGTGATATCAGTGGATTGGAAGATTCAGGAATGACAGGCGGAAGAACACGTGAGGTGGGGAAATTAAATTTATCGTTGGTCAGACGAATGTTTAACTGAATTGTGATGAATAAAAATGTTTTTGAGAATTTAAATCCATCATTTGATTCTCTATTGTTATAAATATAAAATCAATGTTCCGAAATTTTTTTATTATTTTTTAATAATGCATTCTCTTTGACAAGTTTTCTCCAGTATTTTTTTTGTTTCGATCCTTGGATTCGTTTTTTTAATTCAGAACTGTCGAACGCTGGAATGCTGGAGCCACGGATTTAGTCTTGTGTCACGTCCATCACTGGAGGAGCTGTCAAGCACTCCTAACCAAAAAAAATCACGAAGATGATATTATTTTGAAGTATTTCAAATCGAAATCGTCATGTCTGTGATGTTAACTGCAGACTGGTTTCCCCTAGGGAGAGACACGTACTTCAGGTAATTACAATAACTCGACCCTGACCTCATCCCCTGGAAAAATTTGTAATGAGAAGGATTGAAGTAAAATAAATGGTGATGAACCTCAATACTAATTAATAAATAATTATCTCTGTAAAAACCTGTAGAAAATTCGAGCTGTACCCCCTGGAGTTCCAGCGAGAGGTGATCCATGAAAACCTGGTGGTGCCCTCGCCGTACGGAGGTACCATAGCCATCACTCGAAACCCCAGGAAATTCGTGAAAATCCAGGGCTCGACGAAGCCGATAGTCTCCCTTTACTTTTCCTCGGGTAAGCTCTTTTCAAAATTCACCTGGAACAGTGGACAGCTGGTGGATCTGGGATGGTCCCACCAGGAGGAGCTCCTGTGCGTTCAGGATGACGGGAAGATCCTCCTTTATGATCTCTTTGGGGTGTACCAACGCTCCTTCGACATGGGAAACGAAGCCAAGAATACAAAAGTCATCGACTGCAAGTTCTTCACGACAGTGAGTGGCACTGGAATAGCAGTTTTGACATCCACCAATGCAATTTTTCTTGTTAATAATATATCGGAGCCTAAAGTACGTCAACTCCCGGAGATTCCGAAGCTAGGAGGTCCCATAGACTCCTGGGTAGTGATCAGGCACGAGAGACAGAGTCAGGTAATCGTCTCGAATCAGAATGGAATTTATCAGGTGCACCACATGGGCAAAACCCCAGCTCCCATTCCGTTCTCAGCCCTCTTCAACTCCAAAGTCTCCAATGTCAGGGCAATGGCTGTTTCAGCTAGCCATCAGCATATTGCACTTCTCGGAGATACTGGACACCTCTGGCTGGGCTCGTCAGACCTGAAGAACAAGTACACCGAGGTCCAGACAAGCCTCACCGACCCCTCAACCTCGATCTCCTGGTGTGGAGTCGAGGCTGTTGTCTGTATTTTCAATTCTACTCTCTTGATTGCTGGAAGAAGTGGAGATACTATTGTCTATTCTTACGATTCATCTCTCCACCTGATCTCCGAGGTTGACGGCGTGAGGATCATCTCTGGGAGCAGTCACGAGATGATCCAGAAAGTTCCCAATGTCGTGCAGAGAATCTTCAGGATAAATTCAACAGATCCTGCCTCTTATCTTCTCGAGGCATCCAGGCAGTTCCAGAAGAGGAGTCACAAGGCTGATAGTTATATTGATCTCGTCAAGGACAAATTGGATTCTGCCATCAAGGACTGCGTCAATGCAGCGAGCCACGAATTCAATCCAGACACCCAAAAGCTCCTGATGAGAGCAGCAAAATTTGGAAAGGGTTTCTCAAAGACTATCAATCCAGAGAGGTACGTCACGATGTGCAGAATTCTTCGGGTTCTCAATGCTGTTCGTCATCCAGCCATTGGAATTCCCCTGACATTCACTCAATTGGATATGCTGACTCCTCAGGTACTCCTGGACAGACTAGTTGTCAGGAGACATTATTATTTGAGTATTCAGATAGCGAAACATCTGCAGATGCCTGAGGTAGATGGAGAGAGCAGAATATTGGCGCACTGGGCCTGTTACAAGGTCAAGCAGACTGTTCTTGATAAAGAACAGATTGCAGAGGAAATAGCTGCGAAATTGGGGTACGCCCCGGGGGTTTCTTATTCGGATATTGCGCAGAAAGCGGCTGACTGTGGGAGAAAGCAATTGGCCATCAAACTCATTGATTATGAACCTCGGGCTCAGCTCCAGGTGCCGCTACTTCTGAAGCTTGGGGTCGAACAGGCTGCCCTGGACAAGGCTGTGGAGAGTGGAAATACCGATCTAGTTTATACTGTTATTCTGTATTTCCAGAAGAATATGTCTCTTGCTAATTTTGAAATGTCCATCAAACATTGTCCTCTGGCTATGAGTCTTTATGTCAAGTATTGCCAGAGTCATAACAGGGAGGCGTTACTGGATATTTATGTCATGCATGATGACTTTCATGCTCAGGCTTTGTGGTACATCAAAGAGAGTTACAATCCAAAGAATATTCAAACTCGTGAGGCACTTCTTAAAAATGCACAGGAAAAATTAAAAATGGGAAGATTCGACATGAATGCTGCGTTGACTGAGGAGCAAGTGAAATTGCTGAAGCATCAGAGATCTCTGGAGGACACCCTCAGGGAGCAGATCGTTGGAAAATCTGTCCACGACACTGTCAAGCTACTATTGCTGCAGAATGAAATAAAATTGGCTGAGAATTTGAGGTCCGAGTATAAAATACCAGACAGACGGTACTGGTGGCTGAGGATTCAATGTCTCGCTGAAAAGGGACTCTGGAGTGACCTCGAGAAATTTTCCAAGGGTAAAAAATCACCGATTGGATACGAGGTGATCATAAAAAAATTCCTGGGGTTTAAAATCCATTGAATTTACAAAATTTTTTTCTTCTATTGAATAATTTTTTATCTAATCAGAATTGATTTGAATAATTTTCAGCCATTCATTGATGAGTGCCTGAAATACGGAAGCAGATTGGAGGCGAAAAAATATTTACCGAGAGTTAAAGATGAATTGAAGATCAAGTACTTTGCAAAAATGGGGTGTGTAATTTAAATTTCAATTTCTTCCACTTCTCCTTGGAGTGTTTCTGAATAATTTATTTTTTGACAGGATGTTGTCAGAAGCTGCTCAGACAGCATTCGAGCAAAAAGACTCATCAGCTCTATCATTTGTGCTAGCCCAATGCAGTTCCTCGGATCGTCCCCTCGCAGAGAAAATCAATGGAATGATCACTAGTCTGAGGAATGGAAAATAAATAATAATGAATTAAAAAAAATATTACTCCAGATAAAATCCCTTTACAATAGAAATTCTTCATATGAATTTTGTACATAATTATTTAATAGGTGTACTGAAATAAAATTAATCATTTAAATAATTTCAGTGGAGATCAACTGGTTTCTGTGGCTGTCAAAAATTCACTGTGTCTTTTGACTAAATCAGAAATTATGTACTTCTCGATTTCTTCTCCTTGATCCATCTGTTCAGGTGTCAATGAAATAGTGTAGTCTCGATTTTTTTCAACAATCGTCACCTGTTGCTTTCGATTCTGAAGCATATTCCCTATCACCAACTGTGGAATGATATTTAAGAGAATAAATTATTGCTGAAGAGAATTTTTCAACATGAGATTTACCTTGTGATTGTAGTTCTTCAGGGCAGCTCTGGATTTAGTAATCAATAAATTCTCGTCAGTCTCTAGTTTGAAGGAGACGACGAAGGCTTTGGGAACCCAAAGATTCACCAGAGGTTTCAATATTTTTGGAACTAATTGAAGAGCTATCTTCGGAGGCCCAACGTCAGACCCAATTTTATGGACAGACTGTAATAAATAAATTAATACTGACGAGTGATTTTCGTTGTAAGTGGAATCATTCGTTTTTTTCCTCTTAAAAATTACCATTTGGTTCGAGGGAACGTAAAAATCAGCGACTGCAGCAGCTAAATATAAAATAACTCGTTTCTCTAAAGGTGCGAGGGCCTGGGAAGCTGATCTCAACAGCCAGAGATAATCCGATAAAGTTGTAAAACTCAGCTGCAGTAATTTCCCTTGTTTGAGAGCACTTTTGTACTTCATCAGAACGTGAGCAACCGATTCCGAATATTTTTCAGAAACCATCAATTTCCCTTTCCCCTCATCAAATTCCAACATGTCCAGGAATTTTTGGCCTATAAAGTGCCTCGAGAATGGCTCCAACGATTTTGTTCTGACAAATAATTTTTGGATAAACTTTTTTTTTGAGACAATGGCAAATTAATTGACTCACCTGTGTATAAATATAACAGCATATCCTTGCTCCAGGAAAAATTCAGTGGAAATGGAACCTCTGGTTCCTGCTGAGAAATTATCAACGAATCTCACAGTGTTGTGCTCCAGGGGAACTGTCGTACCTCCACTCTGGAATTATGAATTATTTTCTCACCCAGACGTAGACCAGACATAATGGAAATTTAATAAAATATATTTACTGTGACGAGAGCTATTCTCGTGTCTTTATCAGCGCAATTTTCAACGAAATCCTTCAACAATTTTTTGCTGGTCTCCAAATCCATGGGTTTTGGTTGATTCGCGTAGAATTCTTCCCAGTTTGGCTCCATCACTCACTATTTTATCTCTCAAAATCAAAAGAATTATAAAGAAATTGTAATTTTTATTTTAAACAATATTTTACGGCAATTTATCATGGACAATGAACACTCAAGTTTCTGGAGATTTTTACAATTTGTTGTTACATAACCTCAACTGTCATCAAGGTTACACAGACTTTTTTAATTGTACAAATTAATTTATTCGTGTCTTCTGGACTTTAGACGTGACTTCAAACGAGTTTAGGGGATTAATTATATTTTTTTTTAATTTGGGAATGAAAATGGGAGGGGAAGAGTGGATTCCAGTAGAAGAAACAGATCAGCTGTTCATTAGGAATTGTAATTGGATATTAAACGAATTGTTTAGTAATTATTTACGTTGAACTGAATTGGATAGATTTATTTTTGCGGTACGGCTTGATAAAATGACGCAATCAGAATTAATGGATATTTTTACACTTTATTTTTCACTCTGGAAACAACATTATCTCCTTAATAATAATATCCTCATCAAGCTGCTGGAGATGCAGAGAGATCGATTGGTATATTCAATGGAGAAACGATGAGTGTTTAATTGTTTTTGCAATCACAATATTCCTGCAGCTGAGCATCAGCTTAAAGAGCAATTAGAGTTACTACATCCCTAAGATTAATCTTACATGGATAATAGATTTAGTACTCTGGGATCTTGACTTTGTCGACTTTATTTGTATCAGCTATCGAGATAAGCTGAAAAAAAAATATATCAATTTTTCAAGATCAATTATCATTTTGAATTGATTTTCGAATTGGAGAACTGTCTCAATTTTTTTTTTATTCATTCAATTTTTTGTCTAGAGTTGACAGTAAAGACAAAATTCTGATTTTTGTTTGAGATTTTTTTTTGTGTTGAAATAAATTCATACCTTGTACTCCTTGTTCTTGTACGCCTGCCATGGCTCAGGATTTTTTTTTGGCTGCCAAGATACATCGGGATTGGCAACTGCCAAACGTAAAAGATAAGCCGCTGATCCAACGAGACCAATTCCAAAGCAGGTGAACAACGGGATCAGCTGTAAATCAGCAGTGATGTAACTCAATTCTGATCTGACAAAAATTCAAAGAATTCGGATGATTAAAATAATTTTTACGTACAGATGGATTTTTCAGGATTGATTTCATCGACATTCCCTGCATGGTGGCTGATTTATCGTTATTATTATTTGCTAATTGTTTATTGTAGACCTCAACTCAGATTTCTCCACAAATTTTTTCTTTGAGGTTGGAAGTGGAGAGGGAAATGCGCACGCATTTCGAATTTTCCCGACAATTTTCAACGACATCTGCAATTATTCTCTGCCGATGGTCATATAGAAACCTGTAGAAGATCCTCAATGGTATTTAATTTATAATTTTTAATAATAATTTATTTTAACGGAGTTTAGTAATTATCGATTGATTTTATACTTGATGAAAATTATTTTGCACCAGACGGATAATTTATTTAGATATTATATTATTTTAATGAGATAAAATTTATTTAATTTTTTTATTGTTTAATTGAATTATTCGCGGATTATTTAGAGGTCTTGAAATTGGGTAGGGGACAGTATTTGGCACTGGTGACCAGGGCCTTCAATTTTTCGACTCTTGAAGTTCTCGTGACATTTTTTGGGTGAAAATCGCACGAGCCCTCGGCATTGAATTTCGTAGAGGGTGGTTTTGGAATTTCACCGGCAAATTTTGAAATTCTTTCCACTTTTCTTGACTCCACGCTATTATTTCTCTTCATCGGCGTTAAAACATTCTCGTAATCAATTCCAGATTGGCAGGTAAATTTTTCTTTGATATTCGGTGGGGGTCTCATTTCTTCAAAGGGAATTCTGAATGCTTGAATTTTGTGACCTTGAGTTGAATCGTGGGAGAATTGATGGGCAAAAAGTTCAGCTGCTGAGCAGTCGAATGGAATTTTCTGGGATTTTTCAACGAATTTTCGGGTGTTTACTGCCTTCGGGGGTGGGAATTCCGGTGGAGGTCTTGGCTGGGGCTCCAGGAGTTCCTGGAATTTTGGGGATGATAGCTCACAGCACAGGGTGTATTTTACTCGAGGCAATGATTTTTCGGGGGTTTTCCATTTTTTTCCGAAGAGATACTCCAGAAATGTCTCACGTTTTTCGCATTCTTTTTCGTCGCAGTTCGATGGCTTTTGTTTTATCACGGATTTTCCTCGGCAAAAATTCAGGAGAGATTTTTTTGGTCGTGGGAGAGGCTTTCCAAAATGTGGGTCACGACATTTTGAGGGTGATTCTCCGCATCCGGCCACTGGAGGATTTTCCGGTGGTGATAATTTTTTTGGCCTCTGTTTTCTCGTCCAAAAATTCTTGCTCAGAGGCTTGAAATTAACCTGGAGGTGAGTACCATCATTCAAATTATTATCCAAATTTTTTTGTTTATTTAAAAGTTTATTTCAGGGATTTACCATTTTTTTGTATAATCCACTGGAAATTTTTACTGACGCTCCAAACATTTTGACGGATGATAAAAAACTGAGAATCGTTTTCACATTCTCAGTTTTTTAAAATTGATTCTATATATTTTTTAATCATCATCAATTAACATCTTCATTGCATTCTAATTGGAGTAATTACTCCGTAGAAATTTGCGAGAACAACTCGAAACCATTGAATTCTTCTATCGAATATATCTCCAAAACCACTGGAAATACAAAAATTTCCAAAATAACCTTTTCCCGAGCCCTCAAAAAGCCCTCCAAAAAAGGTTCCTACAAAAATCTGTCTATCTCCCGCCGTTACCTCGTTAAAACCAAAAGAAGTACAAAAGAAATTCCCCAAAACCCTAAAACGCCTCCAGCATAAAAAACCGGTAAAATTTCCATTTCCCGCACCACCGATCACCAAAAAATCGGTAATTTCGCATGAACATATCCCCTAACAATTCTCGTCCCAGGATATGATTTATTCATCATAATTCCATAGACACCTCGACACACGGGACTCCTAGACACCTCGAAACCCCCGACCAGCTATCACAACAGAATTCCATAGCTTCCTCTGGTATTTCAACTCCCAATAACGTGAAATGCTCTCGTGTAGATTGATTCAACACCCCCTTCAGCCACCCCATCACCAACGGTAACTCCACCAGTCGACAAGCTACATCCCCCTCTTTTGGTGGAAGGGTGTTTACTCAAGACACGACAATTCATTACGTAATTGAATTGAACGAGGCCTTTTCGCTTTACCCCCTCCCCCCCTCCCACTTTCCCCTACCAAATTTTACCCCCTCGTACACATTTACCTCGATACACACCGGATGTGATCCAATCCTCCTGCGCAATCTCTTCAACTTCTCCCGTTCCAATTACCGTGCGACCGAATTAAACGATTAGTTAAACTCATTTCCGAGTTAGGGGGAATGAATAAGTAATCGGATTTCTCGTTAAGGTAATCACATGGGGTACCTGATTGGCCCCCGGGATTTTCGGGTATGGCTTCAGTTATATTTGTTGATTTTACCCTGTACCAACCCCCTCCACAGATTTTCCAATGGACATGTAGATTTCATGTACAAGTACTGGATTCACTGGGGGATTTCATACTCTCTTTGTCACGCTTCGGCTATTTTTAGGGGTTGGGGTTGTTTGCACCGACAATTACACTCACGGTAATGCAATCGGATTTAAATATTGGTGGATTTGACAAATAGGGGGCAATGGGGTACGCTCCTGGCGAGAGAAAATTTTAAGAAGAAATTATCATTATTTAAAAAATAAACGAAAAAATAGGAATTTATCAATTTTAAAAATTATCTTCGACAGAAAATCTCAATTTTCATTTCACTCATACTTTATTACATTTTTTATTAAATTACTCCGCCATTCATTACCAGAAATTACGCCATTAAAATACCCGATGAATAAATAATATTTTATTTTCTGTAAAAAAAAACAATTTCGAGAATAAATTTTGAATATTTATTGGACTTGTCATTAATTTTTCGATGTAATATTTAAAAAAAATATTGAGAATGAAGCAACAACAATTCGAGGACATCCGTAAAGATTCGACAAGTGCGGTATACGAGTTTTATTTAAAATGGTTGAAATGCTAATGACGAGATTTTCACGTTAAAGTGGATACCGGTGGGAGGGGCGTGATATGGTGGATTTGAGGGGTGAATTTGGTGGGGTAAAGTGGGTGTAAACCATCGGCAACGCCTCCCCGTGAATTTCTATTGGCCGGCGGTCCAATGGCGGCACTGGGGGACGCGTGGCGTCCCGACGCTATTTTATATCGAAAAATCCAGCTGAATCCGTCGGTATGTTGAGTTACGTTAGCGTCGGGCGCTGGATCGCCCCCAATGTGTTATCATCTTGGATATGGAGCAGCTAGCCCAGTTTGTGTCAAAGAGCTTTCATCATGCCAATGTCAAACCGTCAAAGTGTGCCAATGGAAATATTACACTCAGTGTTGCACATCTCATTGGATCCGTTGACAACTCAAACTCTAATCGTATGATTTTTATTTATACAATACATTTTTCACTGATCATACCATAATTCAGTGAAATTTTTTATCATTACAGTTTGTGCCAGTGATTATCAACTATTTCACTGCAAATCCCTTTTTATTCTCATTAATTCGGTTATTAATATATTTTTTTAGTGGTGTAATTGTGGTTTATTTGTGCGAAAATGTGTCAAAAGAATCTAGTTTCTAGTGATTTTTTTCTTTCGCAATAATTAAATGTTATTTAGAATTCCGATGAGAGGGGGATTGAGGGGGGAATTTTTTTCACGGCTATTCGTTTATGATTTTGACACTCGGGGAGTGTGATAATTTTTTTAAGTGGGGGATAATTAATTAAGAGGGTATTGATTTTTTCAGATGATACTTCACCCTCGGAGGGACTGGGTGAAATTGCTAGTGTGGAAACGTCAGAGCCGAATTCCCCGGAATCTCGTCTCCAGCCTGAGGATCTGTCCACTAAAATTCCGAAGGATAATGGGGAATTGTCAGTACCCTTGAAGCCCCCGGAATTGAAATTGTCAGTGAGAAAACTCCTGGGCTGCAGTCCATCTCCACCAGCGGTTCAGGATCGCTCGCCCAGTCCAGTGATCAATTCTGAAATAAAAACATCAGTCAATGAATTAACAGCAGAGGGACAATGTCAAAAGCACGAGGAGAGCAACAAGAGTGAGTCTACCTGATTAAACAATAATTAAATCCACCGACAGATCCAGAATTAATTGAAATCTCAGAATTTTCACTCAATCCCAACGAGCATTTTTTTTCGATCAGTTTTTCGGAGATATCCTCGCTCCGAAGGGAGACAGCAAAATTTTCATAAATACCTTTTTTCTAGCCGCCATCATTCTCTACAAAAAATGTACATAAAAAAATTTTCTATCTCCCTCCTATTCCGAGATATTCGCGGGAAACTGGAGTGTAAAAAAATGCAAAATCAGGTGTTTAGGAGATTGTGATCAATTGATATTTTAAGCTGCAGATTTCAATTAAATCAGGTACTCAGGTATTTATTCATATTAAATCGTTGTTATAAATTTATTGAAAGTACATGATGCGTTTCAAGGGCTGGAATGGATCTTCCGGAAGGTCAGGGCCTATCCGTTGTTTTATTATTCACGAGATTGTGCCAATAAAGCTCAGATGTGATCGACCCGACGGTGTAACGAGTACAAATGTAATGATCTCTGACGACTCAAGGTTATGAGCCCTTCAAGGGACTGTCGAGTCATCCCTCGTGTTCACCCTCGAGAGATAAAAAAATTTCGACGAGAATTTTTTTCTGGAAAATCCGAACCAACGATTTGAATTCAAAAATAAATTTGAAGTGCAATTTTATCTAATTGCGTAATTCAATTGACTAATTGATTAAAACCGGTACATTATGCGGAGAGTAAGTGGAGGGTGTATTAGGTAAATTTTCCTGAAGTCTCGCAGGGGTGAAGGGGGTGGCCTTTGGGGTGATTAAGGTGAAATGCCCCTCTGACTAACGATGTCTTATAAAATAGCACCTCGGCACTTGCCTAAATTATATAAATCACCAGAGGTCTTCGTCAAGGGTTCTTAATCCCACCGTCAAGTTTCTCATCCAACTTGCAAAGTCTTCATAGAAGTCTCATACTTACTTTGCATTAAGTGCCCATTAATTACGTTGTGTACTGGTATAATTGCTCGAGTGTATTCTCACCTCGCGGCGTCACTCGTTATTATTACTTTGATACTTATTTCGTAAGGGGGAAAATTCTCAAAAAAAATTGAGACATTTGTGTTAAGACGTGCCTGCTCGACAGAAATTAATTCAACATTTTAGTTCAACACAATCAACTTTAATTCAACATCGTCTGGAAATTCTTTCACGTCTTTTTAATACAGATAAATTCAACCTGTCGTTTCAACTCATCAACTTCTTATGGAAATTGATTCTACAAGGGGAATCAATTGTACACAAGATAATTAATTAATTGAATCGATTCAAGAATCTCAGGTGTATTGAAAATGTTAATTTTGGTTTTTAGTGTTGAAATAAAAATAAATAATGTAAATGTCAAGATAGAAATATTAAAAATATCGGAGAGCGATGGAATTTCAAGAAATAAAATGCTGTCGTATTAAATTTGCATTAAAAATTGGAAACGAATTTTATTGATATTTCGGGGGCATAAGACTCCCCAAAGCAACAATGAAAATTAAATCCTCTACAATTCATGAAACCCAAACGAGGCATATGCAGGGGGTCGAGGGTAAATGCCGGATGATTTCGTCCCGCAAAAAATAAAACAAACCGAGGAAAAAAAAATGCCCTGAAGGGGATGCCGGAGAGGGCGCCACAATAATTGAATTAGCAACCCCTTGTGTCCGAGTGTGATTGCCTCGGGTTTTCTCCCAGTGTAGCAGAGGCAATATATACGGCAATAGCTGTCGTTTATTTCATCGTATGTTGAATCAAAATCACAACGTAAAACTCGTTTCAGCATTGTCAATTTCGATTTAATTATCTCATTAGAAATTCCAGTTGCAGTGGTCCTTGGATTATAAACTTTCAGTCTGAATTACATTTTTTAGATTATTCCTTCGAATGGTTTTTAAACCCCGGAAATATGAGGAAAAAAAAATATGAGAAAAAAAATACAGGAAAAGGCACGTGGGGAACGTAATCGTGGGTTAAATAATTATTTGAGTAATTGTTGTCGTAATTATTTTATTATTTACTCTGGAAAATTGACGGTATCATTACGTTTTTTTTTTTGGAGCTCGTGGAATTTTTCTGGGGAATTTGAGATGATCATGAAAGATTAATTTTCTGGGAAACATTTTTTTTTTGTTAATAAAAGACAGAGGGATATTGATAAATTTGGGGATTGACCAAGTGAAACTTGTAGTGTCCGATGTGCGAGGGGTGGAAAAAGGGCGTTCAAGCGATGGACCATAAATAGAAGAAGAATAAAGTGGAAAAAGTCGAAAGTAAGGTCCAGCCGTACCCCGGACTGATCTACTGCGCCACTTGTATTTCTTCCTCACTTCTTTCACACCAACTCCTCATATTTATTATTTTACTTTAACCCGAGTGTTAGGGGAGGTCTAGGGGAGAAAAAGTATACAAATGCAACCGGCCAAAAGCCGTCCGAGAAAAGGGGAAGGCCAGATTGCTTTTTGATTTGCGTTTAATCGAGAAAAGTTATGGGACGAGCTTGTGAGATGGCATTTACGGTGCACACGAGGTGGATATTAAACTATAAATTCATGAAACTACTGCTGACAAAAATTTCCAACAGGATTTCAATCAAAAAGTATGATTTATCCCGTAGAAATAAATTTCATCTTAATCTAAAAAATCGTTGTACCTAAAAAAAATTTCAATTCAACTTGAAAAATACTTCGATCCCACAACTTTCACATCCGACTTAAAATCCTCAAACTGACGATTGAATAATAATTATTACGTCTTCCCCGTGGTCGATGGTCTAATGCTAGACGATCAGATGATCTCACCTAATTGTGAAGATGCCGTTGGCACGTGACTAGGGGAGAAGGAATTTATCACCCGGAAAGACACATCGTGCGAAATGAGGTGTGAAGTGAATACTTATTTTTTTTAACTCCCTTTTGCTATTTGCAAATTGATCAGGTACTGCCAACTGTCGTGGTAATGGCAGTGGCAATGGTAAACAGCGGAGATCAAGAACAAACTTTACCCTGGAGCAGCTTGCCGAACTGGAAAGACTCTTTGACGAGACTCACTACCCGGACGCATTCATGAGGGAGGAGTTGAGTCAGCGGTTAGGATTGAGCGAAGCGAGGGTGCAGGTCTGGTTTCAAAATCGAAGGGCCAAGTGTCGAAAGCACGAGAGTCAACTTCATAAAGGTACCGTGGACATTTTTTTTTCGATTCAGTGAATTTTACAATTTCTACCTCGGAATTCTCGTTCTTAATCCTAATCCTATTTATAATCCTAATCCTAATATTATTAATAAGCCTATTGATAATGGTAATCATAATCCTATTAATAATCATAATCCTAATCCTAATCCTGATTTTTCATATCGAGTCATAATCCTAATCCTGAATTCATAATTTTCATGGTGAAATTTATGGGTTTAAATTCCGATCGTCAACATAAAATTGCTCGATTAGGAATTCAAGATGAAGAATTCCTAATCGAGAGTTCCTGATCGATATGGAGCAACTCCTGGATTCACAGGATAATTTATTGAACTTAATTTTGTTCTTTGTGGTAAGGAGTTGCAGGTGGAATGGTGCTGGCTCCTAGAAGTCCACCGACACCTTTAGAGTCCTGTCGAGTAGCACCCTATCTTCCGGCCTTGAGACTTCATCCTCCACTTCAACCATCATCCAATGTCAATCCACCAGCATCAGGACCAGGTTCAGCATTTGATCCGGCAGTGCTGCATTATGCAGCAGCTGGTGGACTCTTCTGCATACCACCGAACAGCCACTCTCATGCACATCCTCTGAGCCTTGCGGCATCTCTAGCCGCTGCAGCAGCGAGATCCAAAAATAGTTCAATTGCCGATCTCAGGCTCAAAGCTAGGAGGCATCAGGAAGCACTCGGGCTTGATAGGCCTTCCTAAAGGTCTGTTAATGTAATTAATAAAACGAAAGATGTTTTTTTTTTGTGTGGCTGAGGAGGAAAAATCTAGGCGACTGTGATGTGGGGATAATTTTCGGAGTGGATGACCCGAACTCCAACCAGAGGAACTCCAAATTCCAAAACGTCAATTATATTTAAAAAAATCCTGAAAAATTACACTAGAGTTCACGAGGCTCATTATTAATTCACGTCTCAGGATAACGGAACTCCGTGGAATTCCGTGGAATTCCTTACTGAATTCCTGTTTGATTTAGCTGGACTCGCGTCTGATAAAATGCTTACGTGTCTCTGAAAGATCCAAGACATAATTCTCCAGATATGATTCACCGTCGGGTGGACACAGACCTCGGACTTGTTCCACTGCGGAGAACCTAATGGATCGAGAGTTCCATGAGAGTGAGGGAGTGAGGAAATTGTAGGGGTGGTAATGTTGGCAATGCGGGAGGGGGTGTTAGAGGGTTGGTGGGAGAAGAAAAGTGGTGGAAAGGGGTGGCAAGAGGGAGAGGGAAATGGGGGAAGGGCGCTAATGCAATAACGCAACGCCACGCGGATAAATCAAGCAGCGAACCGGCGAACCGTCGGGCCTCTGCAACACACCGGGGCGTAATTGTGTTATCTAGGCTTTCCCCAGTCCCTGGGGCGCCATTATATCGTGCTATGCTGTAGTCTTGTACACAGCGTTCAGCATATTCCATCTACTTTTGTCAGTGTGTGGTCCACACACTCTCACAACCGCAGGTTTACTCAAAGAGTCGGTTGTAAGGGGGTAAAGGGGGTTGGCTAAGCAACCCAATGGGAATTCTCTAATTTTCATCCACCTCTCGAGGACTTCAGTGTCAATTTGTCGTGCCATTACTGTCTTTGACTTGCTCTAATCAGAAGATTTACCAAATTTTCGGGGGTATGAGGTGTGGCGAACATTTTTTTGGAGATGATTATGCTTGGTGATTCGTTAGTTCAGGTTAGTGATCTGATGGGGAAGAAAATTGTGGATCAAGTGGATCAAGTGGATCAAGTCTGGACGCGGGTCTGGTAGTCACTAGGTTTGCAGGCTCGAATCTTGCGAGAATTCCCCTTTTTTTCAGGGATTTCTTAGGAATTCGTACCTGAGTTCTTGTTCTGAGTGGAAATTCAGGAATAATGCCTGAATATAATCTAAAAATATAATTCCATTCCTCCAATTAGATCCCCGTTTTTCTATAAAGCGTTATTTAAAATGATATCATTCCTCCAAGTGACAAGTGTTATTCAAAAGGAAATAAAAAATCTTTTTACATCACTTAACCCCAGGGAATGACCCCTCGAGACGCTTGAATAATATACAACCCCATTTTCGTGTTCCCCGGTATAATTTCATCTGTATGAAAAAGAAGGGAAGAGATTCACCCGTTATTTCAGTCAGACTTTTAAGAAGTTTTTCTATCGCTGGAAAATTGGCCGTCATTTGGGGTGAACTGCTCGTGGAATTCTCATGGACTTTTATCATCTTCCTCCTCAATTTTTTATCCAGTACTCTCCGTATTTCTCCATGAAATATTTACTACACCGAGTGAAAATCCCCCATCGATACAGTTTCGACATATTTTCATAAACCCACACGTTAATTAATTAAATCCTTCCAACTGAAGAAAATTCCTCTTCATCAAAAGATTAAAAAGTAATCACCACATTTAATCGAATTATTAAAACCCACCGGTGTATTTGATATCGAGCACTTTGAAGTAATACACTCGTAACGTTTACCCGCCCCTTAATCTAATCCTGAGAATAATCTAAAATTCATGACACACATAACTGCCAGGCGATGATATATCTGGCTGGGAATGGTGAAGGTACCAGTGCTTTTGCGCACCGCCTCTATTTCCCACCCTCTCTGCAGCAATCGCTGGTATTATTATTTAATACCAAACAGGCGAGAATCCAACATGGGCTCTCACTATTCGTAAATCACCGCGTATTTTCACCCCCATCCGATAATATTTTCCACAAATTTTCGATCAAGTCTTGAGTGATGATTCTTCCAGGACCGCCCCTAAACGAAATAGTAAAATACAATTAATAAGTGCTCCTGCGGTCTGGATGTTTCATCGTTTCAAGGGGTGAAAACCCCACGTTATTATTCCCTTCTCAATGTAATTGATCGTCGTAAAACTGTTTTCTGGGGATATCATTGTGCAGTTAGATAATAATGATGATGATCCTAACGACTGGTGAATGGATAAATTCAAGAGAATTATTCATTTCATTATGAATTAATTCCACTTGGAAAATCATTCCTTTTATACAATTTTCCCCATTAATTATAATTAATCATCACAGAGAATTATTGAAACGATGGATTTTTTTTTACTTGAATGATTGAAAATCGGGAATGAAGATTTTCGTTTGATTCGTGTCTTCTCCATTTTTTTTTTCCGGAAAGAATTGAAGGGGAAAAAGAGCGGAATGTTTCGGTCTCCGGTGGTTCTAATGCCGAATCAATTCTCGTAATAGTGTCGCAGTTAAGGGATGAAATCGAGTAAAGGGGGATGTTTTCCAGGGATACGGGTCATTACAGCACCTGTCCCTGTATGTAGTTGTATCATGGTATACAAGTGAATGAGGGTGGAAAAGTACCCAGTAAAGGCATCTAATGAAGAGAAGCAATCACTTAAGCCAAGTCGTTCAGAGCTCCACTAGGAATACGTTTATCCTATGGTAGGGGATGCCTACACTTTACGCCTTTTCATTCCCTTTTATTCTGTCCCCCTAGTCCCCCTAGTCCCCCTAGTCCCCCTAGTCCCCCACTTTTATCCCCATTTCTAGGCCCTTATGTCGAGGGAATATGTCCACTAAGAATGTCTCAAGGTTTCCCAGTTTGTTTTTAGTTTTATTTTCTTTAAATTCAGAACGCAATACTGAAAAATATTTCAATAAAAATTATAGATTTATTGAAAATTTATTGGAATTGGGGATTACTGATATCGCTCAATCTGCATCTTCAGAGCAACTATATTTTATTTTCTTTTGTATATTAAAAAGATGAATTTACATTTTTGAATGATTGACGTGCAACATTTAGATTCGTAATAGAATGACTGAAAACAAGAAAATAAATGAGAACAACTGGAAGTCTCGTGGCAAATAATAATTACAACGAAATTCTTTCTATATCGATGCTTACCTAGTTATCATTCTGCATAGAATATAATACAAGTGTTTTACTATCAATTGAGTGGCTGAAGAATTAATACACTCTTCTCTTTTTCTTGTCATTATTTTCTTCAGTGTATTCGTCGTTTTGTTCCATAGGAATATACAATGCATTAACGACACGTCAAAGACAAGTAAATGCTCACAGGTGTTTCAGGATAAATTGTTTTTCATTCGGTGAATTCGCGTCGCAGGGAGAGGATGAATCAGGTACTAGGAACAGTCCAAGAGGTTCAAACCCTTCGGTGAAAGATATCATTCATTGGATATATCAATTGAACAGATAAATCTGGAGATAAATTATGTGAAAATCAGAATAATCGGGAGTAAAAAATTACCAGTAATTATCCAAAAGTTGTAATGACACTATTAATTTGAGGGAAAACTTACCAAAGGGTGAGAACCCACTCCGAAAACTGCCCGCACGAGACATTACGATTAAATATAATACACCGTATAGTAATTACAAATAACATAGTGTAACGTAGTATTAATTAAGAAATATGTTAAATAATTATCCAACCATGAGTATGGCTCAGTCTATTACTAGTTTCATGCAACAACAACAATAAAGATACAACAATATATTTACTCGTGTGGTATTTTGTTTAAATTCAATTCCTCTATTTATTTTTTTTTATTAATGGATTTTTCTCGACTGATATTTACCACTGAAAAAGGCCCTCAAATAAATAACGTCTCGAGTTATTAATTACAGATTTAATTAATTGATTAATTAATAGACGGAGCCACATCTGTCTTTGAAGAGCTTTTGCTTTAAAAAAAAAAAATTAATTCATTTTTCAACGAAGACCTTCTAGCTTGAGAAATTCAAGAGCCATGTTTCTGGATATATTTTTAACTACTTATGAATTTTCCTTAATTAAGGGATTAACTACCTGAGCTTTAACTCGCAAGTTATGTTATTAATTAAAAAACAGTGTTTTTACTTAGTCTATTAAAAAAATATAATACAACTCGATGTAAGTCAACGATTTTTCCGAGTCGCTCTGGCATTTGGTTGAATTTTTTTTTTTCACGATTAATCGTATAACAAAGTGACGTCAATATGACAACAACTTATATTTACAAATGCAACTTTATGAAATTGGCGGTGATGTACCATTAGAGGAGGAAATTTAATGGAATTGCTCAGATAATTGAAAATTTAGGGAATATTTATATTCTGAATTCCTAAATTCTAATGGTAAATCACGAGCCACTGGAAACGCTCAGTAAATTTCACTGAATTCACAGATTTTCCAAAAATGCATGACTCCATCTTTATTATCAAGCTGTTCAGTTCTTCAGATATAAAAAATATTAATATCACAAAATAAGTGCGGGCAGAGGATGGAAAGGACCAGAATGAGGGGATAATCTGGTGATTATTAAATCACCGATTGGCAATAGTGGATTAAGTCAGGAGCGAACGCGAATCGATGATTTTATGTGATATCTTCACCGTCTTTGACACTCACAGATAAAACGTTATCATTTCCATCGGAATAATTGCAAAAGCAAAAATGAAATGTTCTACTTCATCGTACATTAGTCGTCCATGTTTTTCCTCAAATTTTTATTCTATTTCGATTTTTGATAGTAATAATCTAGTGAGACTTTACTATTGTTTGAGCTCTCGTCTCCGTTATTGGACAGGAGAAAAAAAAAAGTGAACAAAACTTGAGGCTCAATCCCTCATGATTCTGTTCTAATTGTTAAATTAAAGTCATTGACAAATTTTCAGTTGATAAAAGAAAAATCGAATCGTTGTTGCGAGTACAATTGATGATTGACTTTCATTAACGTTTCCATTCCATAGATTTCACGTCATAGATTCAAAACTGTGAATAACTGTTGCTAAAAAATTAAAATTACAATAAAAGAGAAAATAATAAGACGGCAATTGTGTGATCTGAAAAAAAATTTTTATGATTGAGCCCTCAATGATATATTTTACAGTAAACTGCACTCATTGACTGGTTTTCTTCAATTTTCTCACATAGAAATGGAATTATCGAGTAACCTAGTATCACAATATACGAGTTATTTGTTTGAAAAATGTTTTTTTTTTCTTTAAATTCATGAACGGAATGGCACAGCATGGACGTGTCCACTTTATTATTTCATGCAAAAATATGGAATTTCATAACGTTTCTCATCTAGTCACATTTTATTTCAGTTTATACATATTAATTAAATCCCTACTCATCTAATAATTGATCACGTGTCACGTAAACATAAAAAAAAATCACATCTAATTCTTCAGAACCATAAAAAAAGGTGTGGCCAAATTTTACTTTCAAAAGTTGAGAAAAAAAAAATTCATCCTAAATTTCATCTCTCATTACTTTAAAAATTCGTTATTTTACACTAGCTAATTCTCCTCATCCCTACAAAATTCTAAGAACATCTCCACTCCTTTCTCCCTAATTTCTCGAATGACCTTTTCAATTGGAAAACCTAGAAAAAAATCGTTCGTACTCTACCTCTCGAATAAAAAAAAAATCCATTCCTTCAATTACATTATTCGACTAAAAAAAATCATTTCACAGCACGTTGAACTCTATAACGTGATATCTATGCCTTAGCGATCTAGAAAACAAGCTGATCCTCTGGAAAAAAAAAAAGTAATGAGAGTAGCTGAGCTACTCCACGTGCTGTCTCTCGTTACAATTTCAAGTGTATCAATGATTTTACTTCTCGTAACTCGAGTTTATCAGCATGACAACAATGCTGAAGGCTTGAACAAAAAAAAATTTCACAACTGTGTAGCATTGGGTACCATTTTATCGAAATATTGTTATTTTAAACGGTAAAATTGCAGGACATGCCCCAAAATTTTTCTCAATGTTTTATCGAAACGTAGCCTTTTATGTTTTTTTAATGTCAACCCTCCCATCCCTCCCTCCCTCCCACCCACCCATCCCACCCCATTATCTCGGCCTTAATTGTTGTTAATTAGTTGATGTTTGACTCGATCCAATAAATCACTTTATTACAAATTGAAGTCTCACCCCCTTTTTTAAATCATTCTCAATGTTTTATCTCACCCTGATTCCAACTTTAGCCACATCTGTAGCTGGCATTCCACGAATTTGCCCCCAATCCCCTCCCCCCTTTCCCCTTTGGGCTGGACACTGGATTCACCGGTGGCCATGACGTATTTTGACACTCAACGACGAACTCGTTACGTCGATTATTTTGATGAGATGAGGCCGTGGTTTCACCCACCCACCCTGTCCACCCATTTTCTATATTCCCCGCCCATCCCCGATCGGCCTTCCCCATTAAGTGGCCGTCTGAAAAATATTAATCACTCGTTAATTACATTTATTTAAAAAACCATTACAATTCCATCGAATTTTTTTTTTAAATCCAATGGAATTGGATCTCGCAATTTGAGCATGATAATTAATTACTTACTATAATCAGGCGGGGTCCTTCAGACTCCGTACATATTGTGAAGTCGTTCGCCCAGTGGTGGTGGAAATTGATCGGAGAATCGTTTCCAATTGTCAGCTCCCACTTGGTTCTTAAAACCATGGAGAATCTAAAAAAAAAAATAGGACGAGGATTTTATATGATTATTTCATATCATTGTAATTTGCAATTATTTAATAATTACCTTCTGAAACATGTCTTTCAAATCGTCACGTGGAGTTACCCAAGAAGCAACCGCATCACAGAAGAAGACAAAATCAGGCACCACACCAGCTGGATTGACATTGATCATCTGACACATGCCCCTGAATGCCGAATCTTTCTCCTCATTGTCACGAATATTTCTCAGCGATATGCACCTATCAATAAAAAATGTTTCGCCAGTAAAAAATAATGATCTAATCTCAATATCAATATAAATATCAAATTGAAGAAGAAGCTATTGCTCGAGTTATATCCAACAAAATTTGTTAGTCACGTTTTAGGGAAACTGTAGCCTTCGTCTGACTATCGAATCCAACAGTAATGAGAGAAATATTTATTAAAAAAAAAGTAACAATGAGGAATATTTGATGGAGAGCAATGAGACGAGGATTTTTATTTCACTCTCGAAAGAGGGGAAACGCCCATTTTTCGCTGAATATCTGAAAAATTGAGATATTCGTTTAAAAAATTACGCCATTTATTTATTAAATTGCAGTCATTCCACTCCGATGTTATCATTTCCCTTTTTTCGTTAATGAAATTGTAAAATGACAGATGATTATGAAGCATTCATGTTTTCCACCTTTTAAGACCAAATTATGTTAATCAAATAATTTTGAATAAATATTCTGTTAATAAATTCCACTAAAACCAATTGAAACGAATAGAACAACTCAACTTAACGACTTGGAGATCATAAGAGCAGGTAAAGATTAAAATGATCAATTATTCCTGCAGATTGAAATACTCCAAGCCTTCGATAATTCACGTACGAAAAAATATTCATAAAAAAATTCAAAACCCCAATTCCATCTAATTGAAACGAAAAAATTCAGTTCATTTTTGCCATTTTTTCCCTTCAAATCCAAAAGTATCAGCAAAAAAATATTGACAAAAATGAAATGAATTTTTGTCCAGAGAGCAGTGAATTTCCAGATGATATTTTTCCCCACGTCCGAATGAATAAATAATTGTAATGATAAAAGGTGCTAATAATAAAATAGAAATATAATTAATAGAATATAATAATAAAGAAATTTACACACCACTGTCGGACAAACTGCTGTAACATGGGGGCGACGTCTTGGGGACACACATAACCTAGGCGACCGATCGTAATCGCTATTTGCGGTTTTTTTCAGTTTTTCAGTAAGGTAGACAAGTGAAGTGAAGTGTAGTGAAGTGACCGGAAACACAAACAATAAGACAAACTGATAGCGAACCAACAATCAACTCAGGTAAATACAATATGCTTATAATAAATGTTAAATTAAAAAAATTATAACAGATTCATCTCCTCACTTCAATCATTTATGTTCTGTTCTGATTAGTTATTGAAAATAATTAGACAATGTGAAGAAATACAGATGAAACGCATTGGGATACCGACATTTACGCAAATACTGTGCTATCGTAGCTGCTGAAAATTAAATCAGAAGTTAAGGAGCAGCGTGCGAGCCTATAATAAATATTTAGGCAATCCAAGTAAATTTTCAGTTATTCAATGAATTTTTACACCTTCAATCATCACAGAGATTAATTACTTGGATATCCTTAATCGCACTGCAGTTTTTCTTTTATTTTCTGTATTTTTCAGTGTAACTGAAACTGGAACTTCAAATTAAACGTTTTGAAATAAAAAAAAAATAATCAACTCATTTTTTAATATCTACGACCCCACATCTGTTGAAATGCTGTGTAAATAAAATTAATACATATTCCACTGGAAATTAAACGAAAGTACATGGGTAGTTCAGTCAGGGTGAACAGCGAGTGTATGACACAATGAAATAATAATTTTAATCATTGATATATATTTGGGACTCACCGGTGTTCTCCAGGAGGGTTTTTGGTGTGTTGGGACGATTTATTATGTCGATTAGCTGAGTTATTATCAGAGGAATATACGAGCTCGTGTTTTGCCCTGAAAATATAATAAATTCATTGAATTAGTGGGTGAATGAGGAATCCAGAGAATCCAATGACAAAAAGATGAATCTCATTGTTCGCTCGGGGCTTGATCCCATTCATCTGATGAGTTTATTGATTGGAATTGAGAAAGTGACATCACAAAAAAAATTGACCGCAATAACTGAACCTATTTATATAATTGAGAATCTGTCGTAATCGCCAAATGACATTTACTGATTGAGTTTATAAAGTTCATCCCAGTGGAATGACAATCTCTTTATTTAAGTCCACGACTTCAACACTGAATTATTAAATTCCATAAATACGATTGAATTCCCAACAATTTCAAAACTAAAATGAATTACTGAAACACAGAATAATTAATTAAATAAAAAAATGAAAAACACTCACCTAATTTAATAGAAATTTCACCAATAGCCCAGGAGGCGTTGTTGCACACAGAAATGAAGGATGGATTAAGATTCTGTCCCAATATCGGCATAAACTCAGCTGCAGCATGAGAAAAAAAAATCCGATAAAATAACGGAGATTATCAGTTATGAACTGGAAATAACTGATAAAAGATGATTGAGATAAATGGAAAACTTCTTACGTATACATGTAACAACGTGTTGGAAACAAGCCTTGGTGAGATCCCCCAGCAAAGCAAAGCTGCTCTGTCTGACCTCAGGTGTTGGATCCTGCATGCACTGATACAACAACTGCATGACATTACTATTCACAACCAATCTCTCGATATGTCCATCGAGTCCCTCAGCAAGTCCACTCAAAAGATCGAGTGCCACAATCATAAAATCCTTATCAGGTGCCTCAAATTGATCTGGACTCTGGGTATTGGCGATGTGTTGATTGAGTGTTTGTTCAACCAGTGACACACATCTCCTGTAGACAGGCTCGCAATAGGGTAGAAATCCAGATTGAAGTGCAGTGGCAACTGAGGACAAACACTCGAGGAGAGGAAAGAGATCCTTGTCCTCATCCTTCAAGACATTCCACTTATTGATCAACGGTGGCATCAAGATGTTTATATAATCAGGTTTATTGAGATGATGACCCACAGATTCAGCGAGTGTACCAATGGCATCGTAAAGAATCAGGAGATTTTTGTGCTGATACTTTCCAAAAGCAAAGACCAGTGTCTCCAGGATGAAGCCAAGATAGGGAACGAGTTCAGTGCATGCTTCTTCCTCCAGAGTGGCAAATGCAGAGCAAGCAGCTTCCTGGACCCTCTTATTGCCATCGAGAACTCGTTTTAAGAGTTCAGTCATCAGTGGTTTGAGGTATGTGTCGTGTGGCTGGGCACAGACCCAGTGGGAATATCTGCTGAGGGTCCAACAAGTTATCGCCCTGACAAGTGCTTTCTTGTCACTGAGACATCCAATGAGATAAGGAATGAGTTCAGACAGATGTGGAATCATTCCATCCATGCAGCCCTCGGCAATGGCACCTAGTGCCAATATTCCAGACTCCTTGACCTCCCAATCCTGATGGAATAACGTCTCCTTGAGTATTGGTACCAACACTGGAAGCAAATCCTCCCTGAAGACACCAGCCAATACATCGAGTGCAGCGGCTGAGCATTTTCTCAAGTTCCAATCACTCAAGGAAGAGTCATCATCACCGCCATCTTCAGCGTCAGCATCGTCATCGCAGCCTCCATTCTCCTCAGAATGCTTGGTCGATGGATGAAGTGCATGATGTGTCTTGGATTTGTGAAATCTTGGTCTAATGTCCTCCTCCCTGTCAGGAATCATTTCGTCCTCCTCCACATCACCCTTCAGAAGAATAATATCAATCTCTGAGTACTTCATACCACTAACGAGGATAGGAATGAGTCGTGGAAGGTGGGGAGCAAGTGCCTCATTGCAAATCTCCTGCTCAGCAAGAGACAGCCAAAATTCACATGCCTCCAGTGCAACTCCTGCATCACAATCTTGAGTCCTCAGGAGCATGTACTCGATGATATTTTGCATGTGCGGTATCAGTCTGTCAATTCGTACCTCCAGGAGCATCACCAGTGCTCGGCAGACGTTTTTACGGACCTCTGAGTCGTCGTCGTTGGCTAAATGGAAGAGATTCTCGAGGAAACCGTCGATGTGAATCATCAGGGCTTGGGTTCGACTGATTATGAATTGATTGACACATGCTATTGCGTGCGAACGAATTTTTGGACTTGTGTGTCTGAAGAACTGGAGGAATTTTGGGATCAGGACGTTCAGGGGACGATTTAGGGCGTCTGAGTCCAGGAGTTCGGCTGAGTCCTCGCAGATTTTTTGGAGTGCTCCAAATGCTCCCTCGCAGACATTGTAGTCTTGTGAGTCCAGCATCTGGCAGAGAGCTGGGAGGAGCTCTGGCCATGTTGTCAGCTCGCCTTTTGAGGCGATTGTTGTTATGAGAATGCCCACCGTTGCTCGAATCATTGGGGACGGATCGCCCACTGCTAGGAGGCATTCTTGCTTTATAAATGTTGTTACTTCTGGAACGAACTTCTGATAGTGCGCTCGAACGTTGTTCTTCAGGATCAGACCGCTTAAGGATCTTGTTGGCACATCTGAAAAAAAATTCAAACATCGTGACCATTTTTTATGGAATCTTGTAGAATAATTCACGAGATGAGGACGATTGACTTGAATTTTTAAAAGAAAAGAGACGATTATTTTTATTTTCTGAAATGTTCGTCAGTGATATTTTAGGCTAGATAAATAATAAATTTACCTTCAGACGTGAGTTTCGTCAGCACAAAGATGAGATAATTATTAAAATCCGGGAATTTGTTCAACTCCTCCAATTTCTACACAAATCTTTGTTAAGAAAAATATCACTACAATTAATTCCATCCGAGAGCAGGTAGTCTTTACAACGAGAGGTTATAAACCCGTCCTTTCGCGATCCCAAGAAATCACTCAACAAACCCTAACCTGTCCGTCTCACATTCTACTGTAATTTTTCCATTACAATCTTATTTTCCATCGATTAGAAACTCAACCACAGGCCAAACCAATCAATACCTCCAATTCCATCTTCCGAGGTTAAAACTCCACGAAAGAAAAAAACCTCAAGAAATCGTCTGTAACCCCGAGAAAATTCCACTTTATCCACAATTTTTTCATAATCTCCATTTTCTAAATTCCCTCACTTTCAAAAATGAAGGAATACTTCGCTATTCAAAAATTCCGAAAATTTCGTCCATACAGAGTCCAACAAAAAATTAATTCCCAAAACCTCAAATTTTCCCATCCGAAATAAATAAATTTTCTCAAATAAAATTTCAATTCTCCCCGGAAAAAAATGATGTGCCAAATAAATTTCCCACCAGCGAAAAAATCCAGATTTCAATTGCCGACATCTCCCCAGAATAACCACTGCCAACAAAATTAACTCCAAAATTAATTTAGCAACAGCAATTATTCCCTCAGTGCAATAAAGCCCCGGGTGTAGACCAAAAAATCACCGGATCCGTCGTGAATACCTCACGACAGGTGAGTAATTTCGTAGAAAAAGAAAAAAATGAATTACCACCCGGCAAATATCCACATCCTTAATGAAAAAAAATTTGTCAATAAAAGCACGCCCTTGGCCGCTCATCGACCTGTCGTGCAAAATAGCTTCAAGACATACCTCATTTGCTCCATTGAAATGAGTGATTAATTAATAATAAAAAAGGATACTTGTTGTACAGCTCTCTGAGTTGCTGTGTCCGGACTTTGTGATTCCTGGAGAAGTGTTAGAATTTGTCTGAGTCCTTCCTCCTGCGGTTGCCACGCCATTTTCATCGTGTTTTTCAATAGCACCACTGAACAGATCTCAGTCCTCACCGGAAATTCCCCACGTCTGCCCCCACCATCGCACCACGCCAGCATCGATAATTCAATTTTTTTTTTCAAATATTTTCCCCGTCAATTTTACCTAGATTCTTTGGTGATCAATTTTTTTGAGAGCAATTGGACTTTTCGAGGGGATCAAGAAGAAATTAGGAATTGTTTGAGAAAATTCTGAGGGTTTTGTGGCATTAATGGGACGACATTTGAATTACGTTGTACTCGGGCACGGAGAGCACTTCCGGTTGCTTCTGGATTTTCGGGATGCGCACGAAAAATCGTTTGTTTGAATCGAAAACGAAGAAATTTCATTATTTCTTCAAATTTGTTATGAATATTCATAATTTATTGAATTGTAATCACTCAATTTTGAGGTTTATATCGATATGAATTATTTTTTTGATAGGAAATTATCTGAAATAATAAATTCTGATAATTACAAATACCTCCACTTTTATTATTTAAAACCACATTTTCAAATTTACAATTACCTTCATTAGCAAAGAGTATTATGGAGTCAATTATAAAATCTAGTCATTAAAACGATTAAGTCAATCGGTGAATGAAAAATAGAGTAAAAATATATAAATCATTGTGTCATAATTGGTGTTGATAAACAGCTTTGGCTCTCCATATTTGAATAGCATTTTCGGCGGACGCGGCAAGTACCTCGTTCAAATAATGCATCTGCCGAGAATAAAACAAATTAATTAACAGATTAATTAAAAGCTAAAGAATTTATTTATGAACTTATTAGGAAGAGAAATTTTTGTTTGAGACATGAAAATTTGGATTATTGAATTTTTTATTGACTCAAAAAATATTTCTCTCACTATCGATGGACTTACGTTAGCTACATCCCCATGTTTGCATTCAAAATCAACAATACTCTGGGGTGGATCTGTTGCACCCCATATCCTCACAGTTTTATCAAGCGATGCAGTCATCAAACTCCCGGCAGTTGCGTGAATCGCAGTAATTCCCTTCGTGTGCTCAGTCTTGTATGATTTTAAAATATTGAAGTCATTGTTCTCCTCGAGTACGTGAATATTAGAATTGCTGTCGCCCATGTAGACGAGTCCATTGTGCATGAACATACTCATGGCAAATGAGTCCTTAGCCAGCTGGATTTTTAATAACAATTAAATCTATTCAATTATGACTATAAAATGTATAATAATAAAAATTCCAGGAGATGAGATCGGACAATCGAATTAGTTCTCACCAAAAATGTTTTCATGACAGCTCCAGCCCTGACATCCCAGACAGATACAGTTTTATCTTCACTGGCAGACACAAGGTACTTCGAGTTCATGGATATTTGAATGACTGCTGCCTGATGAGGCGAATATCGAGCCACAGATTTCTCCATTCTCGGATCGAAAATTAATACTTTTCTGCAGGACGATCCAGTCGCGAGGAGATGCAGCTCAGGGCAAGAGTTCATGCACAACAGGGCACCCTGGACATTCATCTCGTGTGATTTAATAGGAGTTAAGCTGTTGCCAGTGACATCCCAGGATCGAATAGTTTTGTCCCAGCTGGAGCTGTAAATCACATCGTCCATTGACGTTATGTTCCAGATCCAGCCTTCATGACCCAGACCTGAGCATAACTGGTCACATGGCTCCTCCCCGGGTTGAGTGAGACTCCAGCAGATCAGGAGTCTATCTCTGCCACCGGTGATGCAGGTCTGTCCATTCTACAATTTAGGTGATAATGAGAAAATTGTAATTAGAAGATTAATGAAAATGAATATATTTACATTTATTAGCAAAACTGCATCAACAGTTCCGTAATGTCCATTTTGAAGGGAAAAAGTTTCGACTAAATCTCTGTTCTTCCATAGATTTGTCTGCTTTTCAATCGTGACGCATGATAGTTTCCAGAATAATTCGTCGTCTTCATCTGAGAGATAAATAAAAAAATCAGGTGAATGTCAGGAGTGAAAATGTCAAATTAATTCAGTGAAACGTGTGTTAATTTTGTTAATTGGATTTCGAGCTGTTGATTAATGAAAGCCTCACCAGGAGGTAAGAGTGGATAACGAGCATTGGGCCATATTCGGTTGATCTTCACTTTCCAAAACGAGTCATCCTTCAGAATTTCATAAAATTGTTTACAAACAAGTCCCAAATTATGTACTAAAGTGGAGGCATCGAGGAACGAGCATATGTGGAAGAAAATCTGCAATAAAACGCATATCTCTAAAAAAAAATTATATTTATTTTTGATTTTTCAATGAAGAGTTCGATGAACTCCAACACATCAACATAATAGGCCCATATAAGGGAATTCAAATGGCGATCGTCAGCTGATGCATTTGTTTTGGTCCCAAAAAGATTCCCCTCGCTTTAAAAAATTCATGAAAAAAATCCTGGAGTCCCTGAAAAATTATAAAAATTCTCACCTCCACTGGAAGATCCAGAAGTGATATATGTGAAAATAAAAATTCCTCGGGAAAATCCTCGACTGTCGAAACTTCAGATCCAGGATTGTCCATCGCCGAGGGAAGTTGTTTTTTAAAGCTATCTCTGCGCTTCTCATTCGAAAAAACTAGAACACTATTTATTTAACTTTAAAGAACTAATCTAGAACATTTTTATGGGGTTTTGGTTGTATTCCCATGAATAAATTCAGTTTTATTTGAATTATTATTGAGGTTAACGTTTGTAAGACGAAATTCACAGCTGTGGACTGCCAGATTTCTCGAATTCCGGAGATAGCCGATGTTCCACGATGCTTCAACGAATCTAATTTTAAATCGAAGAATTTTCTCAAGGCAGATACAAATTTTAACAAATAATTACAATTTTTTATTTATAAAATTTCCTAAAACAACAACATACGCCAGTTTTTCAAGATTGCGCCGATACAATTTCAATTGTCTACTTACAAATTCATTCGGTGATTAAAATGAAAAAAAATGTACATCCATCACAAATTAGATCTCTCGTTGCCACTGATTTTTCAAAAAACAATCATTTCTAAAAATCACAAAAAAATGCTGTGGTATCGAAGATATTTACCACATAATCTTGACTCATTTATCCGTCACTCCTTGAATTCTGAACTTCTCCTGGCAGTACCCCCAAAAATCACCACTTCGACGATAAAATGAATTTCTAATGCTTAATCAACGCGTCACAGGGTGAATAGGACTTGAAAACACCAGCATAATTAACCAATCCAAAAGTCATAACAGCTCCAACAAGTGATCCAACTTGAGTGGCGACTCCAATGTAATAGAGTCCCCTTCCAGGATCAGGCCTGAAGATGGTGGTAATGGCCATCTTGACGAATCCAATGAGTCCATTGACGAGTATCCAGAGGATAACAATCAAGTACTCTCCACTCCAGGATTTCTGCAAAGGTGGTGAAGGGGATTGCAGAGCAACATACAGCACCATCGACGAGAGAATTAAAATGCCTCCAGTGAGAATGGTGAGGGTCTTGAGAGACAGGGGTTTCCTCTGAATGAAGCCAATGGCCATCGATAACGGAGTGGCCATCGAGGCCAGAGTGACAGTCAAATGATACGCAACATTTCCATAAGGCAGACAAGAGTACGACTGAATTCCAGGGAGTGTTGCATGCCCCAGAAAGCATAAAACTGCCATAATGGTCAGGAGATAGCAGTAAGTCCTCCTGGACATTGCCCACCCAGCAGTTGTCTTGTAGCTTGGAGGTGCATTGGTATCCGTTGGCAGTGTCTCTGTACTTCCTGGAGGTTTTACAATTTCACCACGCGCCACTGGAAGCCTGTTGAGACCAATGAAGGACACCAGACTAATTGCCAGCATCGTTCCCACGAAGACGAAGAACAACTCGAGGGACAGTCTTGGCTCTGGGTAGAATGGCTCGAATGTGTGGTGTGGGGAGTCCTTTTGCGTTGTGTTTCGACACTCTGGATTGCCACCCACTCCTTGGATCAGGGCTACTGCACTTGGGATAAAACCACTCAGACCTTCGCCCACTAAGTAAGAAACTAAATAGATCTCTCGGTAATTTCGCATGTAAGGCATGAATAGGACTGACGATGTGCAGCCTACCACTGCTGTCAGGAACATCAGGCACAGGAGAGCTGTCGAGTGCTCTGAGTTGAAGATTATTGTTGTCTCTTTGTATGTCAGGGACATCAGGTAAATTGCAACTGTTGCTGTACCCAGGAGACCGTAAATTATGTAGTTGTCTCGGGTCCAGGATGAGAATCTGGAACTACAAACAAAAATATCATTTATTTATCAAATAATTCTCGTTGAATCGAAAACAAATGTTTGTTTGTTTCGATTGTTTATTGAAGTCAATATTTTTGTCACTGAAAAAGATAAATCTCCTCGGATTTCAGAGATAAGGCCTGGATTAATCTATTAAATCAACGACAAGGCCATCGTGAGAGATATAACTCATACAAATGACTCAATTAGTTTTACATCATTTGGTTTTTAATGACTTTTATCAGATAAGTCGAAAAACGCGTATCTGAATTTTCAATTGTCTATTTAAAATGTCGAAAAATTAATCGATTGATTCAGCTGATGTTCAAGTGAGAGAAGAACCAATTGAGCCAATTAATCAAGAAAAAGGCATCGACTTTTATTGAGATCAAATTCCATTCGCAAAGGCTATGCGATATCCGTATTAAATTCTTCGATAATTCCTTGAATTTATCGATTATACCGTTATTTAAAAAACAATTTACGTAATAAAATAAAAAATTCAGGTTGCAATAATTTTTTTTTTCATAAAATTGAGAATTTTTGCACTGGAGCTGATATGATAATTTTTGAAGGGTTTGAAGATGATTGATAATAATGTGGGAAGAATGAATAATTTATTTCAGTGTGAGGAAAATTCAGAAGTTTGAGTGATGGAGTTTAACATGAATATTGATGGAGGAACTAATGTACGATTTTCTTACTTGATGAACACTGTGTAGAGGATAGGACCCAGATTAGCCACTTGTACCAGCATCACCATGTGAGCAGGTAAACTCCATTTTTCAGGTGCTGTATTAACTAATAATGGCAGTTGTACATAAATACCATTGACACCGATCCAGGCGCCAATTCCAAACATCACTGCCAGCAAATCCACCAGCAATTTTCGATTGCTGAGACGTTGAACTAGTATATTACTCATCTTTACTTCAAGACGATCGTCTTCCTCCAGAAAATTAATAATCCTAATTAACTACAGCATCCAGATCAATCCTCAGACATCGAGGAATCAAATAAAATAAATTATAAATATTTTTTCTCGACTCAAGTCCATCAGAGTCACCAACAGTCTCCAACAGTCTCCAACAATCTCCAATGGAACTCTTGATAGTCTAACCTCCAATAATTGAATTTTCAATTAATTGCTGAGGTTGTTAGTTTGCATGAATTGTTGCAACTGTCATGTCACGTTTTGGGAATGTTTTTCTGTCTGTTATAATTATTTTTGATGATTTAAGGATTTTTCTGGAAGTTACATCAGCACTTTGAAGTCACGAGTTGAAAGGATTTTATCACTGCATCACTGTTTTTTATTTTGTTTAATTGTTGATTTAAGTACTTGGGTGGAGGGATTTTTTGGGGGTTGTTTTGAGGGGGAGTTTGCCAATTTATTTTTTGGAGCCGAAATTACCGAATTTTAGGACATTGTTGAGGTATTTGCTGGCAGCGATTGATTTTATCAGTTCGACGTACTGTCGGTAACAAGTCGACTGCTGTTTTTTTCCAGGGAATTTATACCCAGAGGGTACACGGGTACAGTCTTGAAAAATAATTAGTCAAATGACACCACGACAATACCCGATTACGACTAATTACAATTTTTTTTACATAATTTGAAACAATTTTTATCGGGAAAAAATGAATCTACTTCTTTGAACTTTTTCGATTCACCAGAGAACGAGTTAACAATTTATTATAAAATTCCCCGAAATTTTCGTTGATAAATAAATCTCTAGATCTCCGGGGATTGTTCTTATCAAAAGCCATGGATAAGAAATAGTATTTGCTTTTACAGAAATTTATAAAACAATGAAACAATTGTTTGTCTCTTGAATTGTTTGGATTTTCTGAGTAACTCTGGAGGAAAATCTGAAGGAGAAATTTTCAGGGCTTAGGGAAATGGAAAATAATTGAAACTTTCTCTTTGAATATAGCAAGAACTTTATAAAAGACGAGGCAGACTCACAGATGGTTTAATAGTTACATATCATAGTACATTTTCTGTGTTCAAAGAAATTTGCGTCGTGTACTTTCCACTTTTCCTTCGTGTACAGTAATTATTACAATTATAATTTTGTGTTGCCATAGAGAAATACATCAATGACCTTGGATTTCTGTTTCCTCCCTCCATTATCCTCATCAAGATAGTTTCCGCAAATTAACAATTAATCAACGGATAAATCCCTTCACCTGTCAGTAATCCCCGAGTGGATAAAACGAGTTGTAAATAAATAATTGATAATGCTATAATTTATAATCGAGTTTTCGTTGATGAATCAAGCAATAAAAAGTCGTGCTGAATTATTCAAAAATTCTCTCTTGTGTCGGCAAAGAAATTCATAAAAAATTGTCATTTGTGGGGAAAACATCTGGCAACTATCTCAACAGTTAATCCACGCTGTGAATTTTTTAATGAAATTGTGGGTAAGTAATTTATCCGCACAGCATTATTTCAGACATGTGGGGAAAGGATTGAAATAGGAGACAGACCCACATGTATATTATTTCTCCATTTATCGTATCGTAAATTTTGCTGTACTATAAATTGAGATAACGCTTAGTACGCGAAAATTTATCTCTGATAGAATCAATTTTAGTGCAGACGTTGACTTTAGAGACACTACATTATTTTTTTAATTTTTTTCACATTTAGGGTGGTTTGGCTGTCAGGGTTGGTTCCATATTTAAACAATTTTCAAAATTGTTAACACCGAAAAAAAATCATTCTTTCGATTTTATCAACCCCAAAAATGCTGTTTTATATATTCTATAAATTTTGACAAACAGAAACATCAAATAAACTTTGCACAATTCAAAGATTGACTTTAACCGTTAATTACTCATTTATAAATATTTAGGTGAATTTTTTATTTTCGCCACACAAAATATCACCTAATGCTAGTGAATTTTATTTTATATCTTGCTTGATTTTTTTTTATACTTAACTTGCAATCAGTTCGTTATTATTGATTTTCTTTACGTTAGCGAGCATGACATGCTTGAATAAATTCACAAATACGCGCAATTGCGAGCGACTAATCATGAAAAATGTTGAATAATGATGATAAATAAATAACAATAATGAGACAATTTTTAAAATACATTTTTCGTCATTTTTCGGTTGGACGCTCAGTGTACAATTGACAAATGCCTCTGTTTTCAGAAAGAGACAGCGATAAAAACACCAATACTATAGAAAAAACACGGGGTTGTATTAATTTCATTCAAAAGCACGGCTCGCTAAATGTTTTCACTCAGTAATTTTCTTCACACCTAAAATTATTGAAGTGATGAAGTTTTTTTGTACACAAATGGAATATTTTCTTCAGAAACATTTATAAAAAATCGTATGTGATCACGCGTTAGATTATTCTTCCAATAATTTCACAACAAAAAGTCCTCTGAGTACAATAGATGCCTCCCAGAATAATAAATAAAAATTATTAATTTGAATGATGAATAAAATGTCAAATTCCCGGATTTATTGCATTCACAATAAATAAATATGTACAACTTTTAGTAAAACATTGAAACAGTGAAGATTTTGCGAAAATTCCAAATGTCTGTAATGAAATAAAATTAATGTATATACCCTGTCACAAACGTAGTAGGTACTAAGGACTCTTATATAATATTACAGTTAATATTTCAATTGACAATCGTGGTGTAATCGGCGGATGGTTCGACACAGAAACCACTCGCCATGTCCTATTTTCAGATTGAATTTTAATCCCGGACTCACTGAAAATTCGAAATTACCGACTCATTATTCATACAAAAAATATTTTTGAGTACTTCAGCATGAGTACTCGTATCATGGAGTGTATTCATCAGATTTTAATGCGATAGCAAGCGTGAAAGAGCGGTGCATTATTTTATTTACTCCCTCAACCGAAAAAACTATTGAAAAAAAAAATTCAAATTTCCCGGTAAAATGATGGATTTCATTTGGAAAATGTAATGCGCGATTGTCAGACTGCGAATTTTAGTCACATGATTCGATCCATTAATATTCCCTAACGATTACCTTATCGTTATTAAATTTACTGTTATCATCTCATAATTCCTGCAATAGTCTCGCACTTTTTCCGATAAATAGAGTCTCAATTTTTTGCGTATATTTTGTACGTCGTGCGAGTATGAAAGCAATTTCATTAATTTATTTAGATTATCCTGAAAATACCGGTAGAAATTTGGAGTTGAGTGGAATGAGGAGAGACACTGGATAAAATTGAATGAAAATATATCCGGAAAAAATGCGTATTTGTCAGTTATTACGAGAAGGATCATTTTACGGAGGCTTTCAGGACTTCTAAACTCTCATTTTACACCCGAGACCACGAAATTACGTACTTCACCGAAGTATAAAAGAAATATCGTAGTTGACTCCCAGAAGTCGTTGCTGCGGTGAAATTTTATGCCCCTTGGAGTTGAAATAACCTTTTTTATTTCCAATACCATCCCCTGAATATTTCCTAACTTCAAAAATGCCACCTCCAATAAAATACCTAAGATAATCCCTCATCAGTCCGCATTCCACTTACCTACAAAATAAATCTATCCACACACTTACACAATAACAATAAATATACTGGATTGTACAAGCAGGGAAGTGTGCGTAGTTATGTGCAATTATATATTTATCATGTCTCGATAATTCATCTCACGAGATAATCCATCATTCAAATTGTTTCATGTAAGTGACGACAGGTATTTGTCTCCAAGCGTTTGGATGCTGTCGCCGGATAATCCATTTTGATGTACCCTCAGTTCGGTGTAATTAAATGAAGCATTAATTCAACGTTAATGAACTTGTGGACCGTTGACAACATCCAGCGCTTGTCGATCAAGTGAATAATTTGGTAGGATATGTACAAAGTATACAGCTCTGCTACAACAGAGAATTCAACACGACGGCTATTTCTTCTACATTTTTTTTTTCAATTCTACATCTCATTCACTCGACTGCGTTCATTTACGAAAAGACAACCACCTCCTCATTAAAAATATATCTGATAAAACAATAAATTATTATAATGACATTATGTATAATAAATACCTATAATAATATATATACTATTATATAATAAATAATCCATATATCTCACCGATTACTCTGAAAATATATTCAAAATATAAGTTGGATCTATTCACGATATAATTCGGCAGAAAAAATATATCTCAGTTATAATTATTGGATTATACCCTTTTCCTTTTCCAGGGTTTTTTACGGATTAATGAATTTTTAATTAGTTCATCTGAAAAATCAGGTACGAAAATTTTCGATGGGCAATGCGAAATGAAAAATGAGTATTTAATTTCAATTATAATAGTTATTGTCCATCTTTATATTTTCGATTGTGAAATAAATAGTTTTCTTGCGGATCGATTCTTAACACTCGATGATAAATCTTGAATTTAAAGAAAAATGGAGAATGTCATTGCGACGTAATTGGAGAGGTTGTCTCTTCGTTGGATAATATTTTAGCTTGGTAGGTGTTTTAGGAGATAGAAATGAACGCAGACGATTTCTATTGGCTCTAATACTCGCCGTCTACTGGTATCCACTTTAACATCGACGTACTAGAATTTTTTATCTACGTAATTATATCAATCTCCAATTAAGTGGAAGAAGAGGGATAAATCGGTTAATGATTTCGTTGGGGTCCGCGTGATGACACGTCAAAATATCACTGATTAATATTATAAATTAAAACAATAACAATAAAAAAATATTATCCAAATTATCCAATCGATATTATTATTCTGAATAATTTTCGTATGAATTGAAAATGAGAAACTTCCATTATTTTAACGTCTGACTGATATTTAATCAATACGTTATTTAAAAAATGACATTTCGGCGTGACCCCTCGATTATTAAATCATCATTAATTAATCATCCCGATTGCCACAGGCAGGTGGCGAAAATTTTCCACAAAACACCGATTCAGGATTGATTTCTTCCCCTTAACTGTAGAAATTCACACAAAATAATTGTAAATATCTGCAAGAAGAATATTAAAACAGATAAGACTTCCTCACAATGATGAATTGACACGTAGACATAGGGACATTCGGATCGGTCCACCTCAATAATCGGAAATAAACGGAATAAATAAATTTTCAAATATATTCAGCTCTCCGAGTGGCCATTTTGGCGGCCCTGGTGGCGAGCGCCCCGAGCGAACAAACAAGTCCCGCGACAGTTTCCCAAAATGTCGGCCTCCGCCTCTTCTGATTTCCCTGATCCTGCCAGTAGCCCTCGGAGAATCCTGAATAGGTGCGCGATCGATTTTTATGAAATTCCTTGAGATTCTCATTGGTGTCGCCACTGGAGCGCGACCTCGGCTGATTCTTGACAATGACCCTCTCCTGTCGCCCCTCAGTGAACCCCCTCGACTGCCCACTGTCATGTGAACCCCTCGATCCCCCTGACTCCCTCCTCAACTGCTGAACATTGCTCAGCCTTCTCTCCATGAGATTAACCAAATTGTGATGCAATCTGCTGTCATTTTCCTGAATAACCGGTAGCTGACTTATTCGCCTTGAATCGATGAGACTGACAGAGTCCACTTGTCAGGCGTATTCAGTGTCTGTCGATGCTGACCTCTCAAGGCCCTCGGCATGACCTGAATGCTGCTGTGAACCCGGTGGACCCGGTTGTCCCGCCTGTTGCTGTTGCGCCTGCGCATAAGCCAGTGATTTCTGATAACTGAACAGCTGACGCTCGAGACTGTAGTTCTCCGCTTGGAGTGCTGCAATCTCTCGGCGCATCTGTTGATTGTGAACCCGACAGACGTCGTCGTATTTGTGATAGGTTGCCTGAAACAGGAGATGACTCTCGTTCCACTCGAGACGAATTCTCAGCTGTCCCTTGTCCGTGAGGAATGGACAGTGATTATCATTGACCTCATTGACACCCAGACTGGTCTCCATGATGATACCCTCGTCGACGGGCTCCTGGGCATAATACCGTGAGAACGGTGCACCAGGTAGAAGAATAGCCTCTGCATCGGGCTCATCTCCACGCATGAGGAAAGCCGACCAGCTGATGTAGCGGAGGTGATTCCTCGGTACATTGTTGATGTCCTTGTAGACGAGGTGAAGGCGAACGGTGTCGGAGTGAAGGTCTGCCCTGATCGCCCAGCCCTGCTTGTCCCGGTCGTAGCACGGCGCTGCAGGGAGCGTTGTCGGTCCCAGGGCCTGAACCGCAACTTCGGAAATCGTTCGCGTCTCGATCATCTCCAGGGATACCCGTAGAATTCCCTTATGCGATATGTCTGACCAACGGACGCGCGGATGCCAGCCGAAGCCCTGACCCTCTGCATCGGACAGATCCTCGATTTGTCCTGATTCCATTCTTCTCTCGCCCTCACCGAGGGTCACGCTGTACCGGACACGACAGCGATGATCAAAACCCGTCAGACGGACCAGGTAAACACTGAGGCGGCCCTCCTGACGGCTCTCACCCTCTTTATTACCGTAAGGATAGATCGCGAGGTGCCAGTCGAAACCACCAAACGTAAAGTAACCCGTCTCCAATTTATTGGGTTTCTGCTGACTCCCCGTGAACACTCCCGTCAGCATCCGCACCTCCGCCGTAAATACTGTTCGCACATTCGCCATTGATAGCTCCAGCTGAAATTCCCCATTTGGGTCTGCGAAGTTACGACTGTAGAGATCGGACACCGGAATGTAGTTACGGTTGCCCTGGGCTGGTGCATCATACGTGAACTTGACCCGTTTCCCGGAGAAGCCCTCGTTCACCGAGAAGTGCTCGCGATTCAGGAGTGTGAATGTAAAATCCACGTAGACACGCAACCCTGGTGCTGCACCACGCCACACCAGGTAGACACCGAGGACCTGTTGGCATTTTTTAAACGTTTTATAGGTTATGATCCTGTCGGAAGTCAGAACCAAATCCTCGACTGAGTTGTAGATGGCGCGCTCGTCTGACTTCATTATTCTCCTACTTTCGATACAATTTTTTAAATTTCTAATACACTCAAAAAATAAATATTTTCATTTAAAAAATAATTTTATTCATCCACTACAACCAAAAATTTTTTTACATTAAAGATAAATTTCTTAGGTTCTTAAAATGAAGAAATGAGTATAAATAAATTAAAAATAATAATAAAGCTAGAATAAAAAAAGACAATTAAAAAAATAAAATAAACACATAAATAAATAAAAGTGAAAAGGGAGAAAGGGATGATTTGGGTTGGAGTAGGGGAGAAATGGTTGGAACAGGAAATAACAGAATACTCGGTTGTTTGATAAGTTGATTAAAATGTTCATACAGACCTTGTCCCCCCGGGAGAAGGCAACTGCCCATCTCTGAAATCCACAAACTAACTCTTTGCTGGTGACGTCTCTTTCCGGGTCGCGTACGACACTCCTGGTAACGACAAATGAGAAGACCCGCGTGCTACCGCGATCCGGTAGCTGCGCGAATCTGTACAAAAGAGCCATCACCGCATCACGATATTTCTACTGCGTTACCCAGTCCCTATTTCGATCCTCCAGCGCTGATTCCCGTGATGATTATACCCTTCCCCCAAGTGCCTGCAAATAAGAGAAATCCTTGAGAATATTCCCTCATTCCCCTGAATAATTCGTATTTCCCGGTAATTGGTGGGTAATTAACGGGTAATTATTTTCCTTTATTATACAAATCCTAATCTCGTGATAATGCAATATTAATTAATAAATTGCTTCAATGAGAAATTCTCGGAATTAATAGGAATTACCAGAATTTAATCAGGGATTGCTCCAAGAATGAATTCTCATGAAATTAATTGGAAACATATAAACACAATTAATCTTAAATCAATCGACGAAAATCAGGTTTCCCTAATGGATAGCAATCGAATAATCGGGTAATGATGATGAATCAACCAATCAAAAGTTCATATTCCAAACAATTCGACTCAACAGCCCTCGATTAACCAATTAAATGTGACATTTGATGAAATGCCACTTCATCCCTCTCAATCAAATCTCCATTAGCTACAGCTTCCAATTATCTCTGGAACTGGACACACGGGAGCTGTAATTTAAAAAAAAAATACAAATTTCAAGGTGAAATGTGAATTAATCAATTCTGAAGGAAGAGGTTGACCCAGGTGAGTCTACTCCTTTGCTCATCCAGGCGTTATTGATTTTTCATACTGACGACGAGGAAGGGAGGAACAAAGTACATTTTGCCTTTTCTGGTAAATTTAGTTTGCAATCATGCTGGATCGTCTTGACGATGAGGCGTTGAGAATAGCAGCGATACTCCATCGTCAATGGGGTTCGAGATTCATAAAGATAGGGAATTATGGAGCTGCGATTGATGCATTCAGAAGAGCCCTAGATGAGGGTGGAGAGCATCTTGTTACATTCATTGGACTCTGCATCGCACTATTGAGGAGTGGAAATTATATTGAGGCTGATGAGATTTCTCAAAAATGCTGCGACCTTGGTGAGCTTAAATAATCATTATTAATTGGTATTACAATAATTATTACTAACTACTGATAATTATTGATTATTATGGATTATCCAATTCTTGAGAAAATTTTTATTTTACAATATATTTGTGTAAAATACTTGGGGATAAATAAATAATAATTTTTTTTAACAATAAAATTCTGGAGATGCTCTAGTTTTTCGGAGGGAATACTCGAGTCATGAGACGGTGGGAATAATTCAGAGCTGCAGTTGAAATAGAAAACAGTAATGCCTCCATCATTTGTAGAATAAACTAATGATCCAATTATGATGCTCTCCCTCATCACGAGAAATACCTCTCCTCATAATCTTCAACAACTTGCTGCAAGGCATCCGTCACTTCAACATGAAAATTTATGATTCCCCGTATTTTATGGGATATAAAATTCAATATTACCATTTTTATAGTTGCAGGTGATGAATAAATGAATATCTAGTGCAGGCTTTCTGGTGTAGCTGAAATTCTCCATCTCTGCATTGGTTTCACTGCGAAAATGTCCTTTCAAGTTTCAACTTGAATTTTCGTTTCGTAATTAACAATAATTATCCCTTTGAAGGGATCTGACAAATTTTTTTATTCACCCGCAGAAATAATTCCATAAACTGCGGGGAATGTCTGACTTCAACCGAAAATGGAGAATCTTCTTACAGCCCTCTTGACCTGAATAACATCCCCTTGAACATTAAAATCTCTTTGTGACCTGCGTCATTTTACTATAATAGATCCTGGTAATTACGCGGCAAAATGGCTGAGAGTGGAGACGCTGTACAAAATTGGTGAGTTTGGAAATAGTCTGGTGCACGCCTATCGTGGATGCCTCCGTCGTCGTCATCCCTTCGAGGATGGAGTATTTCGGGGTAGAGAAGCCCTCGAGAACTGCATCGGACGAAATACTGGTGATGGTGTGATGCAGGAGCTGATACCCTGGATGAGAAAGTTGGAGGAGCGGAGGAATTCTCTGATTGTCAAGTTGTCAGGAGTAGAAGAGGATGTGATCGGTAATTCTTAGATAAATTGGTTAATAAATAAATAAATAAATAAATGCCTCGACAATTATAATCCTAAACTGTCCATTCGCCACCATTATGATCGCTTCCGGGGTTATTCTTCTCTTCTGCTCACGGAAATAGGGGATTCCCAAAATTTTTCATTGAGTCATGGTTTACATAGATTTCAGATTCGACTCAATTTTTATGGACTTACCATGCAGATAAATGGGAATATTCATATACCACTTTGAAGGTCTCAATGGCCGCTTTACAATGGCGTTTGAATTTCTCGATTCTATCGATCCGATCGAGAGTTATCGGTGATAGTATATCGATTTTGACGTGTGCCACATTTTGAAAAATAGTAATTCTGTTTAAATAAAGTCCCTACCAACATGAATTTTTAAAATCCATATTAAATTGATTATATTAAACATGGGAGTGTCTTACTGGTAAATAATAATGATAATGCTCTCCTGAAGGATTCACAGAGGAATACACAAAATTCCGGGTGAACGATTCCGAATATCAGCGGGAATACCGGATGAAAAAATTTCGGCGAATGCTTACAAAAAAATACCGGGGATATCTCGCAGATGATACCCTCTTTCTCGAGGGACTCCTTCAGAATTCCGACTCGGATTCAAGTAAAATGCGGAGTAACCAACAGTTGTTGGCCCTCATCCAGGAGTACTTGACGCGATCGAATCAGACGACTCAAGTTGCCCGTATCCATAAGCCCCTGTACGTGTTTCGTTTCAAGAGATGTGAAATAACAACACCTGGATTCAAGAGAGCTCAACTCAATGAGAGACTATTACGAAGACATAATATCGTGATTGAGGTTCATTCAATCCTCATGAGACTTCATCAAGCGAGAATCGCCAAAAATTATCAGCTATTCTTCAGGTGAAACTATATTTTTTATTTTATTTAGTTTACCATTAAATATTTATATATTTCGATTTAAAATTGGATTTAGTAGATTTTTTTTATTATTTATTATGGTTAATTAAATGAAAATGGAATTAACGTGTTTAAATAATTTGTCAGTATTTATTATTCAAATTTTAATATTTGAAAATATTTTTTAATTATTCATTCCAATTTTCTTATTTTTTCCATTAAAATCACGGGATTTTAATGCAATTTTTATGATAATTTAGCGTTTAGTAGAAAATTCTAGTCCCCATTTTCCCCTCATGTCCTACAAAATGGCCCCATTAAATTTAATTTTATCTCATGTAGTTTTAATTTCCGTTGCCAACCCCCCGCAGTAATTCCACGCATGAAAAAATCCGATAGCTTGTTCCAGAGAATTTTATCCACTAATTCATTACCAAACTGACAAAACGAGTCGCTTTAACATTGCGGTGCATTCCAAAATTCCCTGTACCACCTCACAACGACAAAAAAACACCGGAAATTCCCCACCAGTTGAAAGATATTCATAAAAAATCGAGAGTCCAGACACTCCACTGTTTCCCCGACTCGACAAACTTCCGCATTCTTCTCACTTTTTTTCCCCCGAAACATCACCGGCATAATTTCGCCAAGTTTATCCCCCAGAATTTTTAATAAGAACGGAAAAAAATGGAGATGAGAAAAAAAGGCGGGAATATTAAAAAAACTCTCACAAATTAGGCTGATCCCTCATCCCAGGGCGCGTCCGTGTGAATTCATAAATTCCCGAGTCTCTCACGTTCTCTCCTTTTCCAGTTACGTCGACAGAGCAAAGCACAAATTGGACTCATACCGCACCTCGATGTTCCCTCACAAGTCAGACTGCCTAAGAGAACTATACAAAATGGTTGCCAACGCTTATATAGACCCGCGGGACGTGACTGGCATAAAAGACGCCACCGCAAGAGAGCGTTACCTAAAGCATCACCTTGGAATACGAGAGGCTATGCTCCCGAGAGATGAGGACCTGGCTTGGATACCATACGGCCACAGTAGAAAATCAAAGCTGGAGACATTTCGTCGTCGTTTAGCCCTAACCTCGGAGCCCCTGGAGCTCACCTGGCTCTTCCACGAGCTGTCCAAACTCCACGTCGAGACAAAATCCCTAGACTTGGCAAGATTTTACGCTAAAAAATGTCGAGAGTGGAGCAACAACGCTGGCAACGATTCCTGGACCCTGAATGCTAATCATCTACTCATTCGCATCGAGATCCACCATCACAACCGGAATGAAGCCAAGGAGGCCGCCATCTTGTGTTACTTGGGGGCTAAGAAAATGGGGCTGGACTATCTTGCCGATTTCTACGTTAAAATCGCTCGTATCGTTGATAATATCGATCTAGAGAGAATATTGGGGGTCGATGCTATCGCCGTGAGGGAAAATATCGTGTCGAAAATCATGCCCACGGAGAAACTCAAGTGTGAAATGGACTTTTTGATCCAGCGAATGGACGTTGTCCCAGCCAGACGACGGCTGTCCATTGTTCCCGGTTGTAAAACAATCGATAAGAACTTCAAGCTTCCCTGCAAAAGAAATACAATTCGTGTCAAACCACCCATGAATCCGATTAAGGAATCTCAACGCATTCTACTGCGTCAGTACGCCCCATCACGAAAGATAGCCGGTTGGATGGATTTCGAGGATTATCGATAATCGAAATTGAATTCGTGACCAGTCATCCGGTATTGTTTGGCAAGAGTGTCTTGTTCGTATCTTGCATTGAGAATAATCACCGGTACATGAATTTGAAATTAAATCGGTGACTGCGTGCCACCATTTTGTCAACAGCAAATATCACGATTCACTTGAGAGAGACGGACATGAAATTTAATGATGCCACATCTGTTTTTATGGGATTATTTTGGTGAATTAAACAATTTCGAATTTATGCACTTGTTATTTACATTTTGTTGTGGATTTGCAATTCATTTGGCATATCTGTTCCACCGGTTTTAATGGGTTTATCAAGGCTGTCCAATCGATTTCCAACAAATTAAATGTCAGTGTGAAGTTGACCGAGTCACAGTAAACATTGGGTACATCGGTGATACCAAAAATCGGTAACTGTCAATATCCAATAAACGAGAAATAAACATACAGCCATTGGTGGGGACAGAATGAGGTTACAACCGACGAGAAAAGCCCGTGGAAATCTCGTTACCCCCCACCCTCTCCCACCGATGTCTGGTTCTGCTTATTTCCATTGCATCAATCAATATGTTACCGATATTCAGCTATTTATTTTTTTTCACATCCAGCATCGAGGGGTTCAGGTGGAATTGACAGCTGATGAATGATAACCCGTGAAATTGAAACATCACACGTGGAGAAAAAAAATCGTCAGCTGTTATGTCGTACATTAACACAGACCGGATGAAGCGCCAAGGGCTGATGACAACGTCATACCCGGATGTCACTGAAAAGCTTGAAGAAGCAACTCAATCATCGGATAAAATGGTGCGATCATCAGTGAGAGGAGCAAGAAAGTTATCCACATCAAAACGCCAATTGGCCTGTACCCTACATAGACAAGCCGATCAACATCACCGAAAGTTATTACCGTAACTGTGACAGTAATATCTCAGAGTTTCTTCTCCCCCTCATCCCAAACCTAACGTGCAACTTCGTAATAGCAAGTTCATGATGAGAAAATACAACGACATGATTAATAATCCCCACAACATTTATTCCCACCCTATTTGTACAATTGATCGTTTCTCCCTTCAAGGGGATTCCCGGGTCTATGTATTTGTTACAGTGCGTAAAAAAGCTTGAGGGTAGAAAGAACACGGGATGAAACAAAAGAGTCTAAATGCAGAGGAGAAACTCCACGATAATCCCAGAGAACGCTCAAATGATTTAAAATTCTTTTTATCTCTCCAGCGGGGATTATGAAACATCCCTGATACTCTACCACCATTCGGCACAACTCCAGCCCCAGAATGAGGCTCACAGTGCTGCCATTAAAAAAAAATCAACTCGTATTCTGTCAACCGCACGCTCGTCCATTCGAAAATCCCAAACTCCCTCAACACTTGGACAAGGCAAAATGCCGAGCTCACAAGTACCTCAGGTCCTTAAACGAGACATGGAGAATCTGCTGAAGAAAAGAAAAGACCCACCCACCGACAGTCTCAGGTACATTTTACGAGACACCCTGACACCCCGACATATCGATTCAAAGCAATTCCATTGTTTCAATAGGTGGTGCGACACGAAAAAGGATTTCAAGGGGATGAGACCTCTCAGTGAAATGGAATTGATGCGATCGCAGATGATGCTGAGCAAGCTCAATGAAATATCGAGCAGGAGTCTCCATTCGCTGAAAGAATCGTTCAATAAAAAGAACTTCGAGGAGACAATAAAAATTGGTGATGATCTGTTACGAGTGACACCGGCTGATCAATATTATTATCAAGCGGCAGTCCACAGGTATTTGGCACTAGCCCATCTGTCCCTGAGACGTCACGATCGTGCAATTGATCACTCTGTTCGGATGATACTCACCGGTAAAAAATCGAATGACATGAACCTCCGATTGCGATCATTTGCTGTTCTCGGAAAAGTTCATCTGGTGTTTGGCCACTTGAATGCAGCAGTCAGAGGATGGGAGAACCTGTTGGATTCCCTGATGGAGGCTGTGCCAAGAGCTTGGTTACTCCACGAGATCGGCAGAGGGTATTACGAAATGAGGAATTATTCCAGAGCTCTGGATATCTCCAGGAGTTGCTGCAACGAAGCAGCTGCAGGTGGAACCAACAGATGGATGTACCATGGAAAGCTGTTGGGAGGTCAGGCATTAATCTGTCTAGGGCTGTTCGATGAAGGACTCGAAACACTTCAACGCGCCTCCAACTGCGCTGAGATTGATAATGACGTTGATATGGTTGGGTACATTCAGAATTTAATGGATAGAGTATCTCAAGCGATGGTGGGTCGAATCGAGAGGGCCGAGAAGGACTGCCTCACCGAGATTTATTCGGCTGACCTCAATGCCACTGGTCATGAAGAACCAATCGGTACAATTAATGATGAATTTCATTCTCAACAATTCACATCGAGAACGCAAATCATTCAGAAGTCACAGCTTGACGAGAATAACGAGAACCCGATCAATACTCATGGTGCATCTGTGGATGGGAAAATCGATGAGAGTCGTAACACGAGCTGCTGCATTGTTGATAAATTCAGGAAATATCTGGAGGATACGAGGACAATCAAGCAGTTGGGAATTAGCGACTTAGCAAGTTCTGAGGAACTCCAGACAGAAGTGGGTGGAGAATCATTCAGTCAGGCCAGTTCACGAGGAAGTGCAGATGATGGGAGTGGTGGCTCTGAGGACAGCTCGAGAACTTATGGAGTCGAGACTGATATGTTGTATCAATGTTTCGTTGGAAACTGCGATAATTCGGATGAGGATTGAATGATTCTTATAATTTGATTGTGAGGGCCGTTTTAAATTCTTGAGTTGGATTTGACTGGAATTGATGATTAAATGTTTCAGTGGCATTTGTAATGTCCAAATTTGACCACTAGATCCGTCGCGTGACGTATTGCGGTGAACCACATAATTTTGGGTGCACGCAAGCTGTTGTTGGCGTGACTGAAAGATGCCTGGAGCAACCTGTTGATGCTGACACGAATTTGTTAGCACCCGTAGGCCTAGTGCCAAGAAGAATCTTTAGCTTTGCCCTCTGCTTCCCCGAGATCAATATTTCTATTTTTATTTGGTAAAGTACAGATGGGAGTGGCAGTACAAAATGATTGATTGAAATTACCGATCAATATACCACCGAAATGCTCTTGCCGTTTGATTAAATACTTTTTCTTTCCATTCATGTTCTCACGATAATTGAGACCAAATGGATCGCGTGATTATTTTCTTCGGACTCGGTCACGAGAGGAGATTATTATTACCACACGAAAACCTGTCAAGATTTTCTCACTCCATTTTACATTTCACCGCTCTCCACCAGTTATTTTTCAAAATTAAATTATTGTTGAATTAATTCCACAATTTTTGAGAGGTACAACTCCATTTTTATTTACAATCACAAAAGAATATCCGAATCAACGAATAAAGGGGAGAAAATTATTACTATCCGTCACGTAACAATCGTGTCACTCCCATCGTGAGATTAATTTTTGGAAATAATTATTTGTCTAACGAGAAAAGTTTTCGATTCCAAGAGAAAGGAATTTCCTTAGATAGATCATCGGATACTCTCAATTGAATTTACAGTCCAAGGAACGTTGAGAGGCTGTGAATAAGAGTCCGAATATTCAATGAGAATCAGTCTGGAATGAATATTCGAGGAGGATCATACTTTGTTCAATTTTCCGGCTCCTCTCCTCCCTGCGAGAGTGTATCATCTACCCTATGAATTTTCATCACCCGCCTGATGACCATTTGAATATTTCCCCCTCCCTCCCACCTCTCATCCAATCACAAGAATTTATTGTCACCCCTGAAGAATTGTCTTCATCCCTCAAACAACAAATTCCTTAATTGTCTTGCAGTAAATAAATAACGGATAACGCACACGAGGAGAAAAATTCTCTCGCATAAAACCGTGAGTAGAAAATCATTACCGCACTTGTTGGGTAATGTGCGGATTCCCCGTGTGTAGAAATTCTGGAGGAGTCACAAATGGCACATACTGGAGATATCGGAGGGAACGAGGGATGAAACGAGTTGGCATGTGTGGTACAGAGATATTGAGATACTATCCACATGATTCATGAATGTTCTCAAGGCTATGGGGGTTGAATATTCCGGGTGCGAACGGAATCCAGAAGCAGGGATCGGGACTTTAGAAGGAATACCCTGGATGACTGAATTTTCCCTAGGGCAATGAGGTCTCCTGAAGTCGCAAATAATATTCGCTTTGGGAATATTTGAATTCCGTGTGGTCATGCATCAAAATACTTTTAATATTCTGATATCTGGAATGTTTTAATTAATTGAGGTTCATTAATTGGAGAATTTGCGTTGGTGAGACCGAAAATTGATTCGAGTGTGAAATAGAATGTAAAACAGAAGTAAATATTCACTCAATCGTGGGAAATTTAGCCTCTGGTATTCGTTGAGCTTCAGCTGGATAGAAAATTCGTTAAGCGTAAATTTGAAATTTCCAGGGCTTTGAGAATTATTCACCCTAGATTAATTGTCTATCCGCGGATAGGTTTGCAGTCAAAGGTGATAGTGATAACCTATCAGGGATCAGTTTAGGAAAATCTACGTGAGACGGGGGTTTTTATTTTATTTAGCATTGGGGTATTTTAGGTATTTCAAGGGAGAGTGCTGGAGCTTCTTGGAATATTTGATGAAACATTGTTCCACGACGTCAGGGTGGGAAGATCGATGCAGGTTTGCGGAAGGTACGCAACTCTGACAGTTCATTGATACTTTGGAAAGAGTGAGGACAAAGTGTCGATATGCGAATGTTCTTGGTTTTACGTCGAGAGGGGAGATAAGAATGTCGACTCCATTGAGATTGATACGTTCCTCGACAGGTACTGAACTCGGAAAATGAAAGACTCCTTCGAGATAAGGAATTGTTTGGCTTCGAGAGGCTCCACCGATCAATCACGATAAATCGTCATTTTTTCCTCGAAGATTTTCATAAAGATACAGAATCCACTCGGAGAGATTTTTCTCTTCAGTTATTTAATTAAAATTAATCGTTAACCGAATACTGATGATCAATTATTTTTCTATCGTCAGTGAAAAATCGTTTTCCAATCGCACAAGGAGTGCGAGTAAAAAATGACACCTACAAACCAAATTCAGTGCTCTTTACCTATCAACCTTGTACCATCCATTTTCTTTTATTCGCAGTCTGACATTTTTCCTCGTTTTGTCAAGGCAGCACTCCTTGACATCCCACACATCCCCATCATCTAGGATGAAAGATAAAAAATGAGAGAAAAAATTTCCATCCTGGGCGAAAGTTTTCCCGGTAAATTTCCTTATAGTTTTTCCAGAAAATTTAAATTATCTTTTTTTTTGCAGATAAGGGCGCAGCATTGAGAACTCTGGAGTTTTCCCGGAAAATTTAAAACTTCAAAATTTCAAAATCCGAATGGAAAATGCGATGGCCGAAAACGTGTGGGTGAAATGAGACAAAATTGAGGTACTATCGCTGTCAAAATGTATCAGACAGGATTGTACGTTATGGTTTACCCGGTGGAAATTGGGTTACCGAGAAAGGTGATATGTGAGAATTTCCCCGGAGTTTCCAGTGGCATCGATCGGTGCGCATGATTACCCAAATTATTTTCCATAACCGAGGTACTTTGTGGGAGTTGCAAAGAGTAGAGTTTGATAAATTCCAGTTGTTTGCGATGGAATGGATGCACCCTGCAACCTAGAAAATCGCATTTCTCCTAATTAATTCCTCTGCCGAGGGCTTTTAAATATTTCATATAAAAAAAGTGGCACCAGACAACAATTTCCGTTTGATATTAATTTCATTCTCCCATGAAAGATGATTGAAATTAAAATATAAATTACACTACAAGTAATTAATTAATTAATTTATTATGGATTCGACAGGACCACTCATGGTCGGTGCTTGAGAATGGAATCGGTATCGATTTCGTCGATTAAATTGTCAGATCATTCGAGACACTCGTCAGTCCTACCTCCTGCCTTCATGAATGTGTTTAAGACTGAGAGATCGTTCTCTCCAGTTAATACCCTGGAATCCTCTTCGAAACAGGAGAGAAATGTATCAATTGTCTGCTGAGATTATCCGACAAGAGATTCCTCTATTTTTTCTCGACACTCGTACCACCACTTTCCTCGTTTATCAGGGATTCGACTGAGCATCAGCTGGAGATTGAAGAAAAATTGAAAGCCATGACTTTTGACGCTGGAGAAGAAAAATGCACGGGTAAATTCACAGGCCTTGGGGAAAGTTGAAAAAAAAAAGCTTTCACCGTGGGTCATGGCCTTATCGATTTAAAAAACTCTGGGTGACATCACGTGTCGCCGAATGCAGTGAATATAATAGTGACGTGGTGAAATGTTGTTGAAAGTGTGTTATCCGGTGTTGGGGGGTAAAGGGCTCCAACAAAAGTTTGCTAGCAAGAAATTGCTAACTAAAGTATTGCAGAAGTGTTTTCGCTTGCGTTGAAAATTTTCATGAAATTTTTCGTGCATTGATGTTTAGTCAGACAACCGATTTTTTGTTTATCAACTTTTTCCACTGCCAACTATTTCATATTCCCGTATTTCCGGAGTTTGTGTTGGACGAGAGATTGGACTGCACGAGGGATCAAGAGAATTCCATGAACAAGTTTTATGAGCGAGGGAAATTGTTGACAAGTAGTTTATTTCGCGCGGAATTTCCGGCAATCGGCAGGTTTTTTTTTTATGCAAATTCCTGGAGAATTACAGCTTTAGCGAATCTCAATCACTCATGCAATGAAACCAAAGAGTTACCCGACGGTTTCCGCCATTTTGAGTCGTAGCATGGCAGCGACAAGATGGCGGAAAAATCGGGTAACCTTCGGGTAAAAATCCTACTCGATTAAAATTTCGAGGAAAAATTAATAAAAATTACAATTGAAAAATCCCTTGCGCTTTTGATCTAGGGGAATAATGGACAGACTTATTCGCATTGTTTGTGGCCTTGACCTCAGGCTTATCTCCCGTTATCTGGACTGGCAGATGGTCATTTCGACTGGCTGTCGGAAACCATCCAGCTGTCCTTATTTGTCTTGCACTCTTGAGCTCGTTTATGGGCAAGTGGTGGTCATTTTAACAACTTTGACCCCTCGAGGGTATGACTTTGTTGGAGTTACCTTGGCTTACACCTTCAAAGTGGTCACTATCTGGCCTGTAGTACGGCTAAATAAATACATATGATTACAGAGTAAATGAAGCCAGGGAAATGCAGGTAAAGTTAGCTGTACGTCAGATTGCATCTCAGATAATCGATCCAGTAATTGGCATTCCTGATTATCGAGGTTATGCGCTGGAAATATTCTCAAGCCAATGATGAATCAGGCGACTCAGGTTGTTCATGACCTGAAAATCTCAACGACATCGTCCTCCAGGAGTTGTTGATTCAACGAGAGCAAGTTGATGACCTTCCTCAGGATTTCGGTTAAATAATCATTACAAGTTTACACCCCATGAAGATGTCATGAATGATATTACGGATATGCTATGCAATTTCAGGTATCGGCAGACTGCCAGCTCTCTATCATCACCTCGATTTGATGATCGGTATGGAATATGATATCCCATTCGTCGACACCCACATCGTTCTCCATCGCGACGAGAGTCGAGTCAATTTTTTCTCAACAATCTTAGTCTCGTAAATTCGAGAGAGCAGTAAAAAGTGGAGTGAATGAATACAGTCGATGAAGAAAACTAAAAGTACCCCACGATTTCATGGCAATCGACGTCCCATGTTTCTAGAGAGTAATCACGCTACACGTCGTTCTGACGGGTTTGATTTACCCGTATCGTAAAAGGAACGAAATGACGGAATTAGATGACGGAAACCCCTCAATTATGCGTGCACGACTAGAATAATAAAAGTTCAGTGTGTGGGAAATTCGTAGAAGTGGAAGGTGAATGAGGGGTCAGAAGATAGTTCGGTGAATGTTTTTCACTGGAAGCCGGAAAAACTTTTCCACCGAGTGAAATTTTTCCCCTTCTGAAGAACTTCTCATCATTGAAACTCCTAGGGCTGAAATTTCCGTGAATGTCTTCGAAAATTACACAAATATTCAACTTCAATTCCATCCAGTTACCGGTATAGAGGATAAAATGAAAGCTGATAAGACCGCTGAGAGATAAACCGAAGGTTTACTGGAAAAGCTTCATCTCTCAATGACGTTCTATTTTTTATTTATTATGATCAGGGCTCGTATAGCTCGAGGGTCGTTTTTATAAGGGTTTCCTTATTGGCTAATGTACAACAATAAAACGTGGCAGAACTCCACATGTGTTGCCTGTGCTGCATCAGTAATCGAATTGGCACGGAGGGAATGATGGATTTGTGTTGGGATACATGTACAGGGGTGTGATGAGATTTTTCCATGCAGAAGGAAGTCTGACCTTCTCAGCGTCAGGACTCATTATTTTTCCAATATCTTACTCGAGCGTCTGTCTATTCTTCAGAATATAAAGAGATGTGATTTTTCTGACAGATTTCTCAGGTCACAAAGTTCTTCTTGATTATCGAACCTTGGGGATATTGTGGTTGATGACGGAGATTGGTTGAGGGTGAATGAATAAAAGGGTTTTGATGGATCGTGGGGTGAACCGATGGTTCAGGCAATATGAAGTCAAGGGTCACTTTGAATCGGTAGATGGAACAGGTTTAGATAGGCTCATTAAAAATTTGATGAAGGTTTTCCTTTCTATTGAAGCCCTGAAAATCACGGTTGGTACGTCGGTCGGAAATTGTCTCAAGTTTTGAAACTAACCTCGAGACTGCGGAGACGGACTTCCCTCAAACAATGAGAAGCTCACTTGAGAGCTGGTGATTTCAGTTCTTTCTCTTGAATTAAGTATCATCTAAATACTATTCTCAGGAAGCTGCGCTGGTAGTCTTGCCGCTCGGATGATACCTGGCCGAGGGAATAATATTATCTCAAGAAAACTCGTTCACCGAAAAATGAAGTCAAGGTGCTCAGAGTTCTCGGAAAATAATTTCAACTACTTTAACCCAATTTTAAACAGCAGGAGACAAACAGGGAAATTGAAAATAAATGAAAAATATGTTGAGATTGAGAAGTGGGTGTGAAGAGGATAGCCTAATCGGTAGAACGCTCGATCCACAGTCGAAAGATCGCGGGTTCGAGTCCCGGCCTGAACTACTGGATTTTTTCAGTAAAAAATCCTGATTGTTCGGGTTCAGGAATAATCCTGATTTTCCTCCTGATTCAGGAGTTCCACTCATCAACTCCCTGCAACACCACAAAAACTTGGAATATTGCATAAAGCCTGTAATGACTTCGAGTACTGCACACGTCATTACTATGTATCGACTTCAGTCCAATACTTGAGTTGGGGCTTTGAAGTTGTAACTCACAGTGACAAAGGAGACAGTCGTGACCTTCGACATAAGAGCCTCCAAAACCGCCGCTAATAATTCAACCGTTTAAACGTCAATATCAAACGATATGCCTAAGGTTCAAGGGACGGTTACTCCTAAAACCTTCACCCTGAACTCCTGAGAGAGCAATCATCCACCCTTAATCGTTTAAGCTGTAAAAATCATTAATGATCTATGCCTGAATCCTCCCAGGAAATTACAGATGTACAGATAAATCCGTGTGACACATGTTGAACAAAAAAATTCAGGCCTCGAACAATCAATCACTTGACCCTCATAAAAAAAAGTCAAGAACATCCTGTTGCTCAAGACCCCAGCCTGAGTGACATCTGTATAATCCTCTGGCACAAAGGAAACCTAAAAAATAGAGGGCGCAACAGTTGGGGAAGGAGTAGCCATTCGTCGGTGATATTCAATGCATATTCTCCTTTTTTTTTTTTTTTTCATGTCTCCATTATTTCCACCTCTGGCTGCTCACGGCCCTTATCCAACCCTCTCTCGTCACCTCTTTTTTTTTTCTCATCCCGTCACCAGGAAAAGACCTCCGGTCGAGTGTCGGTTCTCGCCTGCACATCGAGCCACCGATCAATACTCACCTGGGCCTTCGAGCCTGCACATACACCCATAAACTTCAGGCGTTCTATGTATATACATTCCTATATACACAACCTATTGCATTCGCGCTATCACCGGGGTCACCAGCCCCCGAGGGCTCCTGTCAAACCTGTCATCCTCGTTGTGCTAGTCAATGTTTCACTTTTACGTTCGTGAATACTTTTTTTTTTTAATATTCAAAAAACTTTCACGGTGATTCCGCATTTAAAAATTGGTTTGTATTTTTTATCTTTTCGTTTTCTTTTTTTTTTCAGTAAGAATTTTTATTCAGACGAAGGGCTGAGGGCTTTAACTCCAGTGAGAACTGGAGATGCGGAAACTCTCAGCCTTGACCCGAATAAATTTTTCCAACATTGACTCATAAATTACCTTCAATTAGCAAGGACCATGGAGCAATCTTCACCACTCCCCTCAACTTGGCAAATGACTTTTTTAGACAGCAATTTATGTATAGAATACACTCGGGTCCTCGTGATGACCCGACTGGTGACGATGGTCTGGGGTTGTGTCGATAAACTGGAGCAACAGGCAATCCTCCGCAGTCAATTTCCAATGTCTCATTTTTCTCATCAATTCACTGGAAAATAAAAGGACATGGCAAAATTATGAATTGTTCACATCGCATTTGAGGTCAATGTGATTTTTCATTGATGTTATATCTGGAACGAGAGGGGTCAGCCGAATTCAGAGACTATCGGGGGAATAAATTGGTTGATGAATTATATTCTCTCCCCCTGTGCCGAGGGAGAAGATATCATCAAAAAATCCTAGATTCTGGGAATGAGTAATTCCTGTATTTCTCCGCTACAAAAAGAAAATTATCATTCAAATCACAGAAATATTTGAGTCCAACAATTTGTTTTTGGGGGTGATTTTTCGGATACCTCGATGTAAATAACCACTCATATATCAATTGTATGGGGACCCCAGATTTATCCCTATCTCACGTGATATCCCGTGGACTTATCTCAGCAATACGTCTAATGTAAATATTTTAGATTTCTCCAGGCGTGATAGAACGAATTTCTTCGTTCGCAGTAATAATATATCAGGAGTATACATCAGACTTTGTACCGACACATTTTACGCAGAAATATTATTCCGTGGGCGAATAGTTTTCCCAGAGAAAATTTCCTGGAAATTATCTCCAGCGGTTTTCCCTGAACTCTGACCGACAAAAATTATTATTATCGTTGATAATAATTGGGTGATGTGTAATAAATTGGATATTGATAATTTTTTATTAATTTATAGGGGGAGAACAGTCCGGAAATCGATGACTTCCAACTGCTTGGAGAATTAAATTTCAAGGGCGGTAAGTTTTGAATAGAAATAGAATAATCAAGACACGAATATGTTTAAGATGTGTCAATATATTTTTCAGGGTGTTCTTTCGATGTGAAATTTCTCCCCCTTGAAATTCAATGCGTCTTCGAGGTTTTTCGAGGCTCCACTGAGAAAAAAAAAAATAAATCACACGGTATACATCTGGTTCGTTAGATTTGGCGAGTGTAAACCAATCCATATGGATTTCATGAGCTTGCACGTTCCTTATTTCACAACTGGTCTATACGTTCGTCACGACTCGCGTAAGAAAGAATTTTCTCCACGTATGAACTACTGGTAGGTGGAATGATCACGAATTCCACGTGTAATATTGCCTGAAAATAACCGAGGCATTCAATACACCAGATATGATTTGAGGATAAGGATTTTCTGCTCTTGAATTCTATCAGTGTCTGGGGCTATTTGGATTCATGAGTACATCCGTCATGGGTAAGTAATGATGTTGGTAATTACGTGGCAATTCATTCTCGTTGGCATTTAGAATTCATGGACATGGATAACTGGATCCAGTGGTTTACGTGGAGTGTTTATGAGATTATTAAACTCAATCTTTGTCACGTCGTTTATCAAGAGGGTGATGTAAGTGGCTCCCAAAGAAATAAAAATCATTGAAAAAAAAGTACTCGAGTCGGTTTACGTGAGTAAAAATCATTCTGGTGGCGAATGATTTATTTGATGGAGTAAATCCTCTAGTCGTATCAAATAATAATTTTTTTTTGTGTTCAGTTATTTGTCATTTAGTAAGACTGACAAAATTCTCTTTAGAGAATTTATTACACTCCCCCGCTGTTAATTATTCCTTTTTTTTTCACCCCCTGGTTGAGTCTCATTTGCCGGAGACCGAGTGAAATCGGGATGAAGACAAATTTTTAATTAGAAACTCTTCATAATTGAAAAACCGAAAGTTCAGGTGGAAGAGATTTACGAGCTGAACTTCAGATGGGAAAAGTTGGGAAAATTATGGGGATTTTGGTGAGTTCGATTTCTCATCGCGACTTCTTGATTCCAGAGGATTCCGGGGTATCCATCAATACCCGGAGAAGAAATTGCATTCTCACCCTCATTTGGCGTAAAAATTTCGATTATCCGGTGAGAACATTCGAAGCAGTGATTTCTACGAACCGATCAGCCATTTCCAATTAACAATTGCTGTTAATTAAATCGCGGGAATTCCTGGGCGATGAAATTTCTCTTCGGACGCGTGGCACATCGCACGCTTTAACTCTCGTGCGCTTCCGCGCGGCCTCGGGTGCCGTCGGGGCGCACCGCCGGCGCTCGGCGCACGAGTTTTGACGCCCGACGACAATTTGGTGAGCAATTCTAATTTCGGAGGGTAGAAAATTTTTTATTTGGGGAATTGGCGATTTTCTATCGAGTGCTATAACACAATGAACGCAATTTTCAATTGGAGTCACACTATCGACTCCCATTTCCCCACCGTTTTTTCGATTCCAACGGCAGATTAAGTCGATACTACGTACAAATTCCAATTTGTGATAATGACTCCACTTACTGTTAGCACCGGTACTGCTACCATCGAAAATACCCGGGGGAGTTCTCTGAAAAGTTCAGAAATCTGGGGATTCAACCGATATTTAAAATTTTTTTCGACGCCAGTTTTTACCCAATATCTCGGAATCGAAGAAACCCAGCGAATTTTCTGAATAAATATTTTTTCTAGAAAAAGATGAGAGCTACAAAAACCGTCCTCATGAAAAAATCGCTATCTCCCTTGAATTTCGAGATATGGACCAAGAACTGATGTAAAAAAATCCACTCATCCCAGTTTACCACTTGGCAACAAAATTTAAGTTGCGGGTGTTGCAGAACGCGTGATTTATGGGATTCATTAAGCCCCTGGTCTCCGTAATGTTTTTTTTCTCTTCGGAAATGTTTCAATCGCGGTGAGAAAGGATGAGATGAAGGCTAGAGGCAATGAAGTATAAATTTTGTGGCAATTTCTTGGGGACTGAACTGCGTGGGGCTTCACTTCCTGAAATTACCGTAGAAAAAGAGGTGCGAGGAAAATATGAAGGAGTGAGTGCTATTGGAGAGGAAAATGAAGTGGACGGCTATTTGAGAACTCGAGTCAATTTTTTTTTTCTCTCTTTCCTTTCACTATTTTCTTTTCCTCTTAATGAACTTTTTTCATTCCTCTTGTGACGGCCAATGTCTCAATGAACTATCGACCATAATGGACGCCTGCATGGAACGACTCGGCACTGAATTTTATGCGCTCATTCATGGAACACTTTGAGATTTATTCGCGACGGGAATAAAAGGTGAATAGAAACCGAAGACTTGAGCTTTCTAACAGACCAGTGAACAAAGGACAACTTTTCAGAGTTCAAATGTATTCATTTAACGGACTATTATTATTTGTTTCTCTCCTTTCGGTCCGCCGAATGACTGAATAAATAAATTGTCCATAATAAAAAAAAAATTAAAACATTAAAATTATAAACATTTTCAGGGTATCCAATTTTATTCTGAAATTTGCAAGATTCTAAATAAAAATTTCTTGACTAACCAGAAAATATAAAAAAATTAGAAATAAAAATCCTCACAATTTTTTCAAGTTAAACGCGAAATATTTCGTGTGTATTTTTTATTTATATTTATTTATAATATTCAGATTATTCGAAATGGTCTAATGGAATCAGTTGATCGTGATTATCAATCCCTAGGTAATAAATTCCGGTATCTAGAGTTCTCGGAGTGGAAGAGGAATTAGAATGAACGGGCACTTGGATTTATGTCCACGAATGCTTTAATTATTCGAGAAGTAATTCGAGAAATCAAAATGAACGGTAATTGAATCGCCGATATAAATCCCCAAAAAATCCTAGAACAATGATTTCCATTTGATGCTGATTGTCCCCAAATTAATGAACAGAAATATTGAGAACCGGAAGATATCGAGAGAAAATGTTTCCCCTCGGCAATTTTCTGGTCATCCGCCCCTGGCTATCTGCCAATGTTGTAACTCGTACCGAGATTTTTCAACCATTTTATGTATATCTATGTACATTTGCACAAGGTATTGCCTCTGGTACTCAAACCCCTATTTTCCGCCTCGCAAATAACGCGAAAAATGCCAGAAGAGAGTGCAAACTCAATGCATTGTAAATTTATTCACCCGTTGTAACGCACGCAACAACGCGACTTACTCCCGAGTAAATAACAAAATAACTTT